GCATCTAGATTAGTATAGGACTGGAAGGGGAATGTACAGTTGCCGCAGATCCATTTTATAGTTTATAATAGTCTTGATAAGATCTCTATCTTGTTACCTCACTTGTCCAAGTATCCACAAAAATGATGTAAAGAGAAGCAATATGATTTCCAACAATAAGGAAGAAGATTAACAAGAATTTTATATGACTTCAATAAAGGTCAAAATACAACAAAACCAAATAGTTTGGATATAACATTCTTTCTCATTTGATTGTGGGTAAATGATCATTTTTTAGAATTACGATCTTTAGACAGATTTCACAGATTGTTTGATTTCATAGAGAACGATCATACAAAATATAGTAGTTAAAAAAGAGCTAAATTACATATACCAGAAAGTGGGAGATGGGGCTAGCCATTTGACTAGGAGAGTAATTGATTTAATTAAGCTCTGCAAAACAATTGGATATTTCAACCCTTTTGCAAGAGCTAGTCCTTTATGATAATCTTCATAACAGCCCTTAATCTCTAGTTTGATTATTATAGAACAATACTAATTTATGTATTACAGGCAAATCAAAGTAAAGATAGTTGTCCCCTGACTCTTCTGTTCAATGCAAGGTTGACTCAGATTTTTTATCGGTGAAAGTCTGTTTGAGAACTTGAAACATGAATTACATTGTAGATATAGCTTTTAATATTTTTTGATACTCTTGTTACAAATTTCTGGTATGGATTCAATTGGTCACTTATTAAAACAAATACTTCCGAGGGAAAAAGTATCAAAAATTTATCTTTGCCGCCCAGGTTTTGGAGGACTCTACTTTATTATATATATAGTCAAACAGTCGCATCTCATGTTGGATTCCAATGTGTATACCACTACCTGTTTCAGCGAACAAACTAGTGTTTATGAACAGTAGGTCAAGTTCATTAAACTTGAAAGTGGAGCATGTTGCCTTAGTTTTGAACCCACCGCTACATAATAGTTCAATTGAACTAAATAACTTATCTCATTGTTTATGCATTGTTTTTCTCACATAACTTGAAAGGGTTTGATAATTTTATTTTGGTTATGGTGTCTTTTATGTTTGTTTCTTTGTTTTATTATATTATCCTTTGAGTGTGTGTGAGAGACCTAATATATTAATATTATTGCAACATCACCCTATCAATCTAATATATATATATTTTGTAGTCTCAAGCATTGACATAGCGGATTCTGAAACTATAGATACGGATATGGTTAACGTGAGAACAAGTGACTATGCTTCTAGGGTAATGCCACCTCCTTCTAATTATAGTATTCCTACAACTAGTTCCAGAAATAAACATAAAACATCAGAAGTTTGGAATTATTTTGAGACATATATTGATGAGAATAAGAATAAGAGGGTTAGGTGTAAGGCATGCAATAAATCTTATGCATATAGTAGTGCCACACATGGGACTAAAAATTTGAAGCGTCATATGGGAAATTGTCCAAAACGTGCCAACCATGATATAGGGCAATTATTGATTGATCATGATCATAGATTGTAAAGTATAAAGATTAGTCAAGATACTTATTGTGAATATATGGCCTTATCAATTATTCAACATAACTATCCATATTCATATGTGGAGAATCAAGGAACTAGGAGAGTCTTTTCGTATGTGTGGAAGGAGCTTATGCATTATTCTAGGAACACCGCTAAGGCAGATTGTTTAAAAATATATGAAAGGATGAAGAAAAAAACTAAGCTTGAATTAAGGAGGCTTACTAGTAGAATATGCTTAACTTCTGATGTTTGGACTTCTGGTACAACTGAGGGATATATTTCTTTAACAACTCATTATATAGATGAGGATTTGGAGTTACAAAGTAAAATACTGAACTTTTGCCATATTCCTCCTCCACACTCAAGGGTTGTTTTGGTAGATAATATTATGAATTTCTTGCAAGAGTGGGGAATTGAAAAGAAAGTTTTCTCAATTACTTTGGATAATGCAAGTAGTAATGATAGGATGAAGGATATCTTGAGAAACCAGCTTTGTGTGCAAAATGCTTTGTTGTGTAGAGGTGAATTTTTCCATGTGCGATGTTCTGCACATATCTTGAATCTTATTATTCAAGAAAGGTTAAAAACTACTAGTGTCGCTTTAAATAAGATTCGAGATAGTGTGAAATATATTAAAACAACTGAGGCTAGGAGAATCAAGTTTGGAGAACTTGTTGTACAAATGGAAGTGAAAAGCTCAATGGGGTTGAGATTGGATGTTTCCATTAAATGGAATTCGACATTTTTAATGCTTGAAACAACGTTAATATTTCATCCTGTGTTTGTGGCTTTATCAACAATAGATCTCAATTATAAATTTTGTCCATCAGATGACGAATGGGATAGGGGGCGAGGATGTGCAAGTTCTTGGAACCATTTTATGATATTATGACTTTATTCTCGGGTTCTAAATATCCTACAACAAACTTGTACCTGAAATGTGTGTGGAAAATTCAATTGTGTTTAATTCAAGAGAGGATGAGTGAGGATGAAGTTGTTAGGAGCATGGCGGAACAAATGATCCCAAAATTTATAAAATATTGGGATTCTTATAGTTTTGTGTTGACGATTGCAACTATTCTTGACCCACGTCTCAAGTTTCAGTTTGTGGAGTATGCTTTCAACAAAGTTTATGATTCAACTACTGCCACACGGAAGTTGGAGGTTGTTAGGAATGACTTGCAAAAGCTTTTTCAAGCTTACAAGGCTAAATGTTCTAAAGAAGTTCCTACCTCACCTTCAATTGTTTCTCCTGCGAATGGTTCTACTTCTAGTAGGCGTGCATATCATTCTTCTGTAAGTCACTATACTTTTTAGTTTTTATATTCTTATGATAAATAAAGTATTGTTTATTGTTTAATTTTAACTTTTGACACTTTACTGTTTAAATGATGCGGGATTTTGACAACTATGAGAGTGTTTTCATTTCCTCTAAGAAATTTGAATTAGATCTTTATTTGGAAGAGATGAGGTTTGATCGCGTCAAATATTAGAATTTGGATATCCTCGATCATTAGAAGAACAATAGTGATCGTTATCTGGTACTTGCCATGATGGCTCGTGATATCATGGCTATACTAATAACATTCGTTGCCTCGAATTCTGCTTTTAGTATTAGCAGTAAAGTGCTCAACAAATATCGAAGCTCTTTTTGACCAAAAAATGCAGAATCTTTGATATGCAGTCGAACTTGGCTATATGGATATGAGTTTATAGGTAACATGTTAACATAATATTTCATATATCTTATTATTTACATTTATTAATATCTGTAGTTGATCATTGTTTTGTAGATGATTTGGATGATGATCTTGATGTGCCATTAACTAATCTCGGGACTGTAGAATCAAGAGACTCTATCACCCCCACTGTGGGATGAACATTTGTTGCCCTAAGAATGTTTTTTGTTGAATATTGAATTATGTATTTGTTTATTTTAGTTGGTATTTATAGTTTATTGACTTATTTTGTTTGTTTATGTGTAATTGTGTATTATTGATTATGTATTTGTTTATTTTGGTTGGTATTTGTAGTTTTGTATTATATGTTATTGTTTGTTTATGTGTTATTTTTTATTTTGGTTCCTATTTGTTTATATTCTAAATTGAATTGAATTTAGAGTAGTTGATTTAGGGGGTGTAAATGTAAAAAATTAAAACTGTAGGAATTCTAGGGGTGTAACTATCATAATTGAAAATTGTTAGGGGTGAAACTGTAAAAATTAAAACCTAGAGAGAGAAAAACTGGTACCCACAGGTCCACTCATACCCATATAGGACAGGGTACAGGTCCAATATTTTGGACCCGTATACTTCGACCCGTATTGGACCCGTACCCATTTGACCGGTACCCGTGATAACCCGACAAGTACCCAGCTTACCCACCCGTTTTGCCAGGTTTACGAGTATCTAGGGCAGATTATATCATTGGAAGGAATAGTAGCTGACTCTTCCAAAATTGACAGTATTCTTCAGTGGCCAGTTCCAAAAGATTTAAGAGCTCTCCGGGGATTCCTTGGCTTGACAAGGTATTATTGGCGGTATGTCAGTGGGTATGAAAAAATTGTGACTTCTCTAACTACACTATTAAAGAAAGACGCATTTAAATGGAACAATGATTCACAGAGGGCATTCGAAGAATTGAAGCAGATCATGACTTTAGTACCAGTTTTAGCTATGCCAGATTTTTCCAAGGAATTCGTGATTGAGATAGATGCATCAGGACATGGTTTAGGGGCTGTTCTGATGCAAGAAGGTAGGCCATTGGCATTCTTGAGTAAAGGGTTGTCGTTACAATCCATACTTAAGTAAGTCTATAAGAGGGAGCTTATGGTCATGGTTATGGCAATCCAGAAATGGCGGCACAATTTATTATGCAGACATTTTGTGATAAAAACGGACCAGAGGAGTTTACACTTCCTAAATGAACAAAGACTGTTGAGTGAGGACCAACAAAAGTGGGTGATGAAACTGATGAGGCTCCACTTTGACATTCAATATAAATCTAGTCAGGAGAATAAGGTGGTTGACGCACTTTCTAGAAGGCTTAAGGTTGCGAAACTTAATGCTTTATCAATGGGCTGTTTTGCAGGCATAGAGGATCTGGAAAATGCGGTCCACCAGAATGCCAAGTTCGGGAAAATAGTTCAAGAGCTGCTTATTCACCCAACTAGATGACTGCCTTATAAACTGATGGGGAACCAATTGATGTACCATGACAGGTTGGTCGTGCCACGCACGGGGGCTCATATTCAAACCTTATCACAAGAGTTTCACTCATCTCCCATTGGAGGACATTTAGGTTTTTTTCGCACTTACAAACGTCTGGCCAATGTAGTGTATTGGGAGGAATGAAGAAAGATATCCACACATTTGTAGAGGCATGTGAGGTTTGCCAAAAGAGTAAATATCAGGTTTTGAGTCCGACTTGGCTTTTGCAACTGTTACCCATTCCAAATCAAGTGTGGGAAGACATATCGATGGATTTCATCATGGGCTTACCAAGGGCCTTTCAGGTTGATACAATTCTGGTGGTTGTGGACCGTTTGACCAAGTATAGTCATTTCCTCACCTTGAAGCATTCGTATACAGCTAGGGATGTCGCAAGCTTATTCATTAAAGAGATTGCCCGGTTACATGGGTTTCCTCATTCGATTGTCTCAGATCGAGATCGAGTGTTTATTAGTCATTTTTTGGGTGAGATATTCAAGCAGTCTGGAACACAACTTCGAATGAGTTCAGCCTATCACCCTCAAACAGACGGTCAATCAGAAGTAGTAAACTGCTGTTTGGAAACATACCTCCGTTGCTTTATTAGTACTCCACCCCAACAGTGGCCCAAATAGATTCCTTGGGCAGAGTTTTGGTTTAATACTACGTTCAGCAGCTCAATTGGCATGACACCCTTCAAAGTACTTTATGGCTAAGACCCCCGGTCATCCTGAAACATTCTAAACATTCCTCCACAATTGAGCAAGTAAACTAGCAGTTGCATGACCGAAACACTATCCTTTAAGAACTAAAAGAGAATTTGGTCAGAGCTCAAAATCAAATGAAGCACTTTGCAGACACCAAACAGAGAGAAATTAACTTTGAAGTGGGAAATTCAGTTTATCTCAAGCTATACACTTACCGCTTTCGTTCCTTGGCTCGTCGTTACAATGAGAAATTGAGTCCATGGTTCTATGGCCTTTTTTGATTACAGGAAAAATTGGGTTAGTTGCTTATCTCCTGCAGCTACCCTCCACAGCCTGGATTCTCGTCTTTCATGTGTCTCAACTTAAGAAGACTACTTTCCCACCCTCGAATGTCCAATCGCTTCCAACTGCCTTGGATGAGGACTTGATTTTAGCTATTGAACCAGAAGTTGTGTTAAAGAAAAGAAAGTTGTTGAATGGTACTTTGGAGGTCCAGATCAAATGGAAAGGACTATCAGATTTTGAAAATACTTGAGAAGAGTTCTCCAGCATCCAGCTGCAGTTTCCATCCTTTCACCTTGAGGACAAAGTGGCTATCTTGGGGGGGTGGGGTTCGTAAATGATGAGACCAACAACACTTTAGTATATGGGAGGAAAAATAAAAGTGTAAAAAAGGGGATGAGGGACTAAGGTCAGGTTATATGCATGATGATGGGTGGTATTGGCTTTATAGGAGAGTGACAAGTGACAAATGCTGATTTGTTGGGGAGCTGAATTCAGTTATAGTAAGAGAGTACGAAGAATAAAAGGCAATGGGAATGATCTTTCATCATCATCAATTTTGTAAAAGGAAAAGAGGTTGGAGAGGTGCTAGCCCTCGAAGTCCAACGGGTTTCTTTATTGTATGCAGACTCATCTTAGATGAGTTGGTTTATGCTTACCTTTTGAGTATGTTTAATTTTAGTTGTGGATGGTTTATTATTCCAATAGGAATGTCACAGAGTTGTTATTAAATATAGATATTGAGATTACTCAGCATTGCTTGTGTTTTCAATTGTGTGAAGTGTTGAAATTGTTCTTGTGTGACTGGAAATTCTGGGCTAGTGACCATTGGAGTTCAGAGTGATCTAGGTGGTGGTCTGTGAGTGTGTTTCCTTGGCTCAAATAGGTAGTGATCCTCTTGCTCTATCTTGTTGTTCAAATTCGGCTCCTTGGTTTAGTGATTTAGGAGCATTCGGTCATATGACTAGTTTTTCTTATCTGTTTACAAATTATTCACCTTGCCTTGGTAATGAAAAAATCAAAATTATAGATGTTAGTTTTTCACCTATTTCAACGAAAGGCCTAATAAAGATTTATGAGAATAAAGCTTAGTATAAGGAATGAAGGTGTAAAAAGAGGGATGAGGGACTAAGGTCAGGTTATATGCGTGATGGTGGGTGGTATTGGGTTTATAGGACAGTGACAAGTGGCAAATGTTGATTTGTTGGGGAGCTGAATTCAGTTATAGTAAAAGAGTACGAAGAATAAAAGACAATGGGAAGGATCTTTCATCATCATCGATTTTGTAAAAGGAAAAGGGGTTGGGGAGGTGTTAGCCCTCGAAGTCCAGCGGGTTTCTTTATTGTATGTAGACTCATCTTAGATGAGCTGGTTTATGCTTACATTTTGATTATGTTTAATTTTAGTTGTGGATGCTTTGTTATTCGAATAAGAATGTCACAGAGTTGTTATTAAATATAGATATTGAGATTACTCAACATTGCTTGTGTTTTCAATTGTGTGAAGTGTTAAAATTGTTCTTGTGTGATTGGAAATTCTGGGCTAGTGACCATTGGATTTCAGAGTGATCTGGGTGGTGGTCTGTGAGTGTGTTTCCTTGGCTCAAACAGGTAGTGATCCTCTTGCTCTATCTTGTTGTTCAAATTTTGCTCCTTGGTTTAGTGATTTAGGAGCATTCGGTCATATGACTAGTTTTTCTCATCTGTTTACAAATTATTCACCTTGCCTTGGTAATGAAAAAATCAAAATTGTAGATGGTAGTTTTTCACCTATTGCAAGGAAAGGCCTAATAAAGATTTATGAGAATAAAGATCTTAAATCCGCTCTCCATGTTCCTAAACTTGCCTATAATCTTTTTTCCGTGAGTAAATTGTCCAAAGATTCTAACTGTTGTTTTATTTTCTCTAATTCTCACTGTGAATTTTAGGCCCAAAGCTCGGGGATGATGATTGGCAGTGCTAGGATGATAGATGGTCTTTACTACATTGGTGACAACTCCTTTAATAATAAAAAAGCTCGAGGTTTTAGTAGTATGAGTTCAATTTTTGCTCATGAACATCTTAGACTAGGACATCCTAGTTTCCCTATCTTAGACATTTATTTCCTGGTTTGTTTAAAAATTTGGATTGTTCGTCTTTTCAAGGTGAAAGCTGTCATTTATCAAAAAGTCATCGTCCTACTTATTCCTCAAAACCCTATTGTGCTTCAAAACCATTTTATTTAATTCATAGTGATGTATGGGGCCCTTCTAAGGTCACTATTGTGTCTAGAAAAAAATGGTTTGTAACCTTTATAGATTATCATACCAGATTATGTTGGGTTTATTTGATTAACAAAAAATCTGAAGTGGACAAATTGTTCAAAGAGTTTTACAAAATGGTCAAAAACCAATTTCAAACAAAAATAATTATTTTTCACTCTGATAATGGAACATAGTAATTTAATGAGTATCTAGGGAATTTTTTGAAAGAAAAGGGGATTCAACCTCAATCTACATATCGTGAAACCCCTCAACAAAATGGGACTGCGGAAAGAAAAAACAAACATTTACTTGAAGTGGCTCGTGCCATAATGTTTTCCATGACTGTTCCAAAGTATTTATGGGAGGCCGTTTTAACGGCCTCCTACTTGATCAATAGGATGCCTACCCGAGTTTTGAAATTTATCACACCCTTAGATTGCCTCAAAAAAAAAAACTTTTCTTGAAACAAGAATACAATCTGATTTGCCAATAAAAGCTTTCGGTTGCATAGTGTATGTTCACATACCTAGCAAATTCTGATCCAAACTTGATCCTAGAGCTGAAAAATGTGTTTCGTCGGTTATGCTCCAAAGGATACAAGTGTTATACCCTCAAACCAAGAAAATCCATGTTAGTATGGATGTTTCTTTTTTTGGAAAACCAACCTTACTTTGACCAAATTATCTTCAGGGGAGGAAAAGAAAAAAGGAGACAATTTCTGGGACATGCATGTTTCGTTACCTAACATAATTCTGAACAATCTTGTTCTTTCTACAACACAACCCTAGAAAAAAAAATTGTTCAAGATACTAGTCAACCATTGCCAAGTATTAATGTATCACCAATAGGGGGAGATATACTACAAAAGGACCAAGACGATCTGAATATTGAGCTTCAAGTTTGTATTAGAAAGAGGACTCATACGAAGGGTAAAGACCTGTCTATCAGCCCAACACAAGAGCAACCAAAATCTACGAGAGATGGTCCTGAGAACATTCCAATTGTTCATGTTCCTATTCTTGCTTCTATTAAACCTTCGAATAATGAGCCCATAGATCTTGATATTCCTATCGTTGTTACGAAAGGAGTCCGTTCATGTAGTAGTCATCCTATTGCCAAATATTTATCTTACTTGAAACTTTCTAATTACCATAGAGCTTTTACCTCTAAGATGTCTCACTTGTTTGTTCCAAGGAATATTCAAGAAGCTCTAGATGATCCAAATTGGAAGTTAATAGTTATGGAATAAATGAATGCTCTTAGAAAGAATGACGCTCTAGAGGTAGTTGACTTGCCAAGGGATAAAAAGACAGTAGGATGCAAATGGGTGTTTACAATAAAGTGTAAAGCTAGTGGAAACATAGAAAGGCACAAGACAAGACTTGTGGCTAAAGGGTTCACACAGACATACAGGATTGACTATCAGGAAATATTTGCTCCAGTAGCCAAAATAAGCTCAATCTGGGTTTTATTATCTTCAGCAATGAATTCCAACTGGCCGTTACATCAGTTGGATGTAAAAAATGTTTTTCTAAATAGACTTGGAAGAGGACGTTTTTATGAACCTAGCACCTCGATTTACGAAAAGTTTAGTAAAGATAAAGTTTGTAGATTGAAAAAGTCGTTATAAGGGTTCAAACAATCCCCTAGAGCATGGTTTGAACGCTTTGGGAAGATTGTAAGAAGTTATGGTTACTGTCAAAGTCAAGCAAATCATACTATGTTTAATAAACATTTAAGAGAAGGTAAAATCGTTATCTTGATTGTATAAGTAGATGATATAATCTTGACAGGTGATGACAATGTTGAGCTGGAACGACTTAAAATGAAACTTGCTAATGATTTTGAAATCAAGGACTTGGGTACATTGAAATATTTCCTTGGGATGGAGTTTGCTACGTCTAAGGAAGGAATATTTGTTAATCAACGCAAGTATGTACTTGACTTACTTGTTGAAACAAGTTTGCTTGGAAGCAAAGCAGCTAAAACACCAATTGAAACCAACATGAAACTATAACGTGCCAAAACTGAATAAGTGGTGAATCGGGGGCAGTAATAAAGACTTGTTGGAAGACTGATTTATTTGGCCCATACACGTCTAGATATAGCATGGTTATTTAATTTATGCATTCACCTGGTCCGGAACACTTTGATGCTGTGTATAGAATCTTGAGATACTTGAAAGGGACTGCTGGAAAAGGGTCTGTTGTTCAAGAAACGTGGACATCTACATATTGAAGTCTACACTAATGTAGATTGGGCCGGGAGTATAACTGTTAAAAGACCAACTTCCGATTACCGCGCCTTTGTTGGAGAAACCTAGTTACTTGGCAAAGCAAAAAACAAAATATTGTGGCTAGGAGTAGTGCAGAAGCGGAATTCAGATCAATTGCTCAAGGGATTTGTGAAGGGTTGTGGATTAAAAGACTTTTAGAAGACTCGACGATTCCTTACTCCTCACCCATGAAGGTATACTGCGACAATAACGCAACAATCTCAATTGCTCATAATCCAGTTCTTTATGATAGAACGAAGCATGCGGAAGTGGATAAACACTTCATCAAAGAAAAGATCGATAATGGAATGATTTGCATGCCATATGTTCCAACCACCGAACAAATTGCTGATATACTTACAGAGGGATTTCAAAAGCAACAATTTGACTACTTTACTAGCAAGCTAGCAATGGAAGATATTTTCAAGCTAGCTTGGAGAGAGTGTTGAATGATAGAAGATTTGTTTATTTAAATAAGGCTAATTAGTTTATGTAAATTAGGCTAATTATTTCTTGTAATTAAAATAATTAGTTGCTGTAAATTAGAATTATTATTTACTATTATTAGGCTAATTAGTTGCTGTAACATAGGTTAATTATTTCCAACAAGTAGGCAAATTAGTTCCTGATTTTACGCTGACATGTATAGCTTTCTGATGAAGAGAAGAAATATACAAATTTCCTCCTAAAAAATACTCCTTTTTACTCGGCTTTTATTATTTAAAACATGAAATAAAAAATAAAAAATCAAGTAATATTAAAAATTAATAAAAAAATTTAATACTACTAAAACAATAAATTAAATTCCTAATTAATACTACTAAAACATGAATTATAAAATCAAAAATCAAAATAATAATTTTTATACTTACACTTTTATTAAATTATAATCCAATAATAAATTAATTTGATCCTATCATTATAACTATATGCATTACTGTAATTATGAAAAATTAACATTTAAATTAAATATGATAACAAAAATTTTATCATTGGGACTATAAGAACTGTTAATCGCTATAAATCAATTTTCAGAAATATTGCTAAATGCCATGGAATTAAGCAAATACTAACTGATGGCCGCTCTCTCTCTCTCTCTCTCTCTCTCTCTCTCTCTCTTAATATCTATTTTAGTAGCGTTATAAGGAATCGGAATCAAAACACCGGAGTGAAACTCAGAATTCACAATCAAACTTCCCTGGGTAATAAGTGAAATAGAAAATTAGATAACAATACAACTCTTTTTTTGTCCTTGAGATCACCAACATACTCTACTACAACTTAGATGTTTACATAACCAGGTGCTGCAAAAAATTGGAATTGGTGCAACATATTTAACGGCCACCACGAGCACGTCCGCGACCACGTCCACGGCCCCGACCACGTCCCCCAACAGGCCTCCCTGGAGTTTGATGAGGATTAGAATGATTAATATCCTTCGTATTCATGAGACAAAATCCTAAACTGGATACAATTTAATAACATAAACATGGTTTAATAAGAGAAATGATCATACCGGCAGTTGGCTTCTTGGGCTTGACCCTAGGCGTCTCTTCAACCAGCAATGTTTCAAGATTCAAACTGTCAGGAAGAATATAATAACGAATGTTGTTACCCCTCACACTAAGGTGGTCCAAAGTTACTGGATTTTTCCCCTTCAGCGTAAGTTTCACTGTTTTCAAATGTGTGTTCATACTGATATCCACACCTATAATAAACCAGCAAATTGAACTGTCAAAATATTTGCATCTTCACAAATTTGTAAAACGTAAATAGTAATTCAATTAGGAATAATATACACTGCTAGGGTTACTTCGATTATTATATCAACCTGAATACTAAGCTGAGGTAACATCAACACAGCATGCCTTGGAGAAATACGAAGAAAATTCAGATGATAATAATATACTATAATGAAATAAAACAATCACTCTCATGACAAGCAAAAGTACCACCCAATAGCACCCCAACGCCATTGCCATGCCCCCACCCCAGATAGAAAGAAAAATGGCACATTAACCAAAATGGTTGGAGCATGTTGTTGATAAATGGCGTTGGAGTAAGATAAGCAAAGTGCAAGAAAGTCTGTGGGTGTTCCTATGCAACTGGGGGCATCCATGTGTACGCAACAGCAGATGTGACATAGGAGAAACCGACAGAAAGACAGACAGGGAGAGGAGCCAGCCCTTAGAAAAACGCTAACTGTGTACAATTTTCTACAGGGCAGGAACAATTGGAAAACAGGTTCCCCCAGTAATACAGAACCTATTGAGTGAGCTCAACAAACAAAAACACGAAAATCTCAGGATTGGAATGTTTATGCTTTAAAGGTCATTATTACTTTAAACCTTGATTCATCAGCTAAAGAAACCATCAGGAATTCATGACTCTGATGGAGGTCAATCTTACAACGAGTTTCTTCCACATGTGAATCAAGGGTTGCCCCATCATTCAACCCACAAACAAAGGAAAATAACCATAAACTCTCAAGACAATGTGTTAAGGCATAAAACCCCAGATTTCCTACAACCAGTCCTAACTTTAGATAAACAAAAGAAAAATCTTAAACTCTTTATAACAGAAAGGCAAAAAATCTATCATTCTAATCACACAAGAGCCAGATAAAGGTTATATTTATCCAAAGAGATATACACCTCTATTATGAAAACCTTAAAATGCACAAAACCATGCCCTAAGATGGGAAAGCCAATCCTAATCTATATAGGAAACTTAAAGAGCACAAATAGAGAGAAAAAGAATAACCATATCCTATAAAACTTATAAAAGATTCATAGATCAGTTAGTGCTTTCCAATATGTATGGCCAATGGTTTTGCATAGTAACAGCAAATGAAGTACATTCATCTCCAATAATCAGTAAATGTATGAAAAATCATGCATGCTGTTTGGAGAACAATCAAAACTCAAACTCCACCATCTTGTCATCATATTTTGGAGTCAATAAAATCTTATACTACCCAGCCCTGGTTTACAATGATGCAAGTAATGCTTATATGAGAACAATTAATAAGAAAAGAAATCAATGATGGGCAGTTGACCACCCATAGGCATTCTTAATAATAGTAAAATGAAAAATACAGTAAAGCATCCTCTGTCACATACCAAATCAAAACATAAACTATAACAAATTCGAAAAAAAAAAAAAAAAAATCTAACGAATAGGTCCCAATTCAATTTATTTTGGGTAACATATAAGATAAGAGTAAAAAATTTGATGAAACAATCATAACCCGACTAATATCCAGAACCAATTACTTTTCAAGCAAAACTATACACACAAGTTCTCAAAAAGGAATGATTACATGGTATCACTAATTGAATTGTCCATAATTTTTCTGCATCTCCTGACAAAACAATTATTTATTGTGGTTTCATAGCAGGATTCAAAGCTAAGAACCCATGCCAATCTCACACATAAAACTTTAGAAATTATTTATTGTCACAAAAAAACAAGGCATAACAACTGAATTTATATTACTACAAAATAAGCCAAAATCCTACCCAAATTATCTCTACATTTTCCTCAAACTAGAAACTATTCAGTCCCAACACCCCTCAGAAATTAAGCTCAACTAGAAAATTTAACCGAAAAAAATCATAAGAACGTCTACAGAAAAGAAAGGAACAATTAAACAAGATAAAACCCTAGGGTTTAACAAAACCCTAGATACATAAAACTTCTGAAAAGAAACGAAGCAAAAAGTGAAAGAGAAAGTAAGCAACCTGTGATGGTTCCGTGAACAATGGTTCCGTTCTTAAGCTCAATCGAAACGGTCTCATTGTTCAGCTTCATCAAAAACCTGAGAAATTTCACATAAAAAATGACAGACAACAAGATCAATAAACTAAAAAACACATAACTAGCAACACAAAGAGGAAGTTAAGTTGTCGTAACCGACCTGACGAGCTTCATTCTGGCTAAGTAAGACGGAAGCTAGGGCTTAGAAGCAAATGCGAAGACTACTACTCTAAGAAGCGGGAACCGCTGCACTCAATGATCTGATTTAGGGCTCGAGCGTGTAATGAGCTATTTTGACTTGGACGAAACGACGTCGTATTGAGAATAGAATATTTATTTGGATACCCGTTACTTTGGCATAAGACCAAAGTGGCACCAAAAATATAATTAATTAAAAAATTGTCTTGATTTACACAAATTATTTAGTGTAATATACTAACATTTGCATTTTTTTCAGTTAAAAAAACTCTAAATATATACCAAAGTTCTTAAGTGATAATATTCACCCCGTCAAGCACGTGGATTTTACCGAAGAGACTGGCTTTATAAATGTATTTTTTTTGTGGATATTTATACACAATTCAAGAGCTATAACTCAATAAAATCGGTCATTTTTTATTTAAATTAATCAATTGATGAATTACATGTCATCGGTCCTAGCCACCGGTTGGACCAATCGGACCACCCAACCCATGGACCGGCCTTTTGACCGGGTCAAAGTCAGTCCAGGGTATAAAAACATTGGTATCTACACATAGTTTAAGAGCTATAATTGAACAAAGTAGGTCTCCTTTCAATTAAATTAATGAATGGATGAAGCCACATGTCATTTCTCAATCTGTATATGTCTTAACTTTAGACATTTTGATAATCAATCGAATGTCATTTCTTAATTTATGTTTCAATTTAAACATTTTGATTATCATAATATAGTAAAACCCCCTCTCATGGGCGACTACACACAATTCAAAAGCTGTAATCAAGCAAGGTTGGTTGGTCATCTTTTAAATTATTAATGGATGCAACCATATGAAGTTTAGACGTTTTAATTATCGTAATATGAAGTTTAAATTTTGGACAAGTATACAGAAGATGAGCTCGCCTGCTAATATTGACTATTTGTGAACTAGAGTGAACTCAAACACAAGAAAAAAAAAAGGGATTTATTGAAGCATTTTAGCAATGTTATGAAAACTGAACTAGACTGGCCAGTCGAACTAGGGACTGGCACTCTCTCTAGTCTGGTTTACTATTTTCAATTGCTTCCCAAACCCCTAATTTGATAATCGGCGAACGAATGATTATCAAGTGCTGGAGTTGATGAGGTTTAGTAGAGTAGAGACCGGTGGTTTAAGGGGTGGTGTTGGATTGAATTTTGGACTCTGGAATCATCTAGAATGTGGTCGGAAAAATAAAAAACTTAACTATTGTAGGGGTGTGTTTACAAGATTTCAAACCTATAGGGACTGTTTGGTGTTTTTGTAAGATTTCAAATTTTTGGATCACCGGTTAGACCATAAGTTTAACATGGACCGGTCAACCTAGAATTCGGATGGTACCCTGGGTCGGGTTTCAGAACATTGCACTTTAAATGAGACATATTGGCATTTTAAAGTTTGTATGTACTTTGATAACTGCGGTATCCTGTTGATATTTGGGCTACACCAGTATTTGTAACTAGTAAGCCCGTGAAAATCATAACCCAAGGGCCTAACCATATTTCTCACTTATTTAATTGATGTACTTTTGTCAAATGCAAAATTTTCTCCACTCGTAATTTAATTAATTAACTACAATAAATTAGCAGGCACCATAACATTACAAATCACTCCCATCAATGATAATAAAATTGCTGGAATAAGCAAATAAATAAAGGACTTGAACTTGATGAATTCACTTGATTGAGTTCCAGTAATCTCCCAACAGATATTTGTAGATGACTCTCAAATGCTAATCTTGCTTTCAATGAAACCATGTAAATTAACGAAGGACTCCCATAGCAACGTGTTGATACAAAAATCTGCACTAACTAGAGAATTCTGATCGACTTTGATGGGATCAGAATAGATGTGTGTGTGATTACGGATAATCAGCAATAGACAAATATTGAATGCAATAAAGTAAATGACAATGAGAGTATTTTAAAGTGGTTCGGCAAGGTAAACTCTTGAACCTACGTCCATTGTGTTTTGTATTTGATGTGAGAGCTTACAATGAGAATTATGTGTGAATGTCGTAACCCCTTTTTCATTATTTGAGGGGGTTTATATATATACAAGGTTTGTACAAGGGAAATAGCAAAAATAAAGGGATTACAATTGATCTAAACTATAATTCTAATATTTTTGTGATTGGGCACTGTGATTGCGCAGAGATTGATGTTGATTTAGTCATTCCTGTAATATCTGGGATCTGAAGCTATATGGGAATTGATTGAATAATTATTCAGGTTGTTCGTGACTAACTTATGCTGAATCGAGCTATGTGTTGACGAGCTTATGTTGGGTTGGACAATCGGTGGAGTCGGATTGATCTTGGGTCGAGCTATATCCTCGCAGTAGCCTAAGCTTAGTGGAAAAATCACACACAACATAACGTTTAAGAAATTTACGACGATTTGTTCTCAAATGATTGCATGAGAAAAAAACCCTAGTCTACTCAAATCTTGAATAATAGACACTATAGGAAATATGATTTATTTGGACGCAAAAATTGCGTTGAGAAACTAATATCCCAATATCGTAAAGGTATTGGTATATGGTCATATAAATGCCATGCTGGCGTCGTATTACCAAAATCAAACTAGGGTTTAGATATTCTTAGTATTGACATACATGTTTTCTCTCATTCTCGCAAAACCCACATTCATACACAGTTTTTTTATAAAAAAATTTCAGCACTCTTTAAGAGTTGGAGGGCCAACGTCAATATATATCCCTATCTGATCTCTCTGATCTATTCAATTAAGATCCTACAAAGCTATGAAAATTTAACAATATTCCGAGAAGCTTTGCTAGCTTTAAGAAGCGACTGGGTTGTAGCTTTATCTTGGTGGATCAAGGCCAGTTTAATATTACTTCTTTATTTCCCTGAAATTATGTCAACTTCAAGTTCGTGTGGAGAACGTAAAAATGATTTGTTTATTAATGTTAAACTCAACTCTGTTAATTAATACAAGAATTGAGAAGAAGTCAATGCTTAAGTTAACGCAAAAGAATTATAATACAAGTGATTCATGAATCACATAAAGAAAACTCCATTAACTACGCACTGTAAGTAGTTTGACAATTTACTTAGAACTCTTAACTTTATTACTCAGAGGTTATTAATTAAATTCTTATCTACTATTAATAAGAAGTAGTCACCGGAGACTTACCTGACATTAACTTTAGGCTCTGGAATACTAACTGAGATGCGAACAAAACTAGTTCAAATACCTCCTATTAAAAAAAAAAAAAAAAAAAAAAAAAAAAAAGGAAGAAGAAACTCCATTAACAAAATATACTATAAACCTTTCTCATTCAATGTTTTTATAGCTAGACATAGTTGATTTTCAATATATAAATATTCGATCATGCGGCCCAGTTACGTTTTCTTCCCCACTTATTCGCAAAATTTTGTTTATCAATTTAAAGAGAATATAAAATGTCCTGAAGGGAATTAATTAATTTGATTTTGTTTTTAATTACTCACTGAATATTACATCTCATGTGTATGTATACAAATAATTCAATCAATCAAAGCCAGTTGATTATTAATTACAGTCCATTATTCAAACTCTGAAGATTAATTATAACCTTGACGATGAGGACCATTAATCACGCAACGGAAGTGGAGTTGAAGTTGGCGAAGTAGTTGCCTGCCGAAGAGCAGGCACTGAACCCAGCCGCGATGTTGCCAAACACAAAACTGAAGAAGAATGTTCCCAACTGATGCCCTCCAATCACAATCGAAGTTCTCTGGTTGTTTCCGCATACAACGAACCCAAGACAATAGACGTTCTGGTTCACCTCCACCATGAGTATCGCTCCGAAAATGCTCCACGTCACGTTCCTCTCCAGCACCAGATTAATGGTCGGCACGCTTGGCCCAGCGGGTGCTCAGAATGTTGCTTGAACTAAAGCACACATCAAACGTGCAGGAAGCCGCCCTGGTGATGTTTCTCGCTGCGGACTGATTGATGAAAGCCTCAGTCAGGCCTTATAAATCGAGTCCCAACACAGTGTAGGATTCACTGTGCTGATATTTTGTTCCACCGACGCCTTGGCTGTCTATGGAAAGTAGAGTTGTGTTTTAACGGGATGACATTGTCGCGATTTGGATGATTTCACGCCGATGAAATATTCAGCCGAGGGCTCGCTTGGGTGAATGCGGAGGCCGTGCTGACGGGTTGATGAAGAGTGTGGTGAAGCTGAGGGCTGAGGGCATCGACATGGGAAGGAAAACGTAGGACTTTCTCCGAAGAAGACTACACGTTTGAAGACGAAAGACAGATGGCAAATTTCTCTGAAACTGAAAGTTGAAGCAAATTGTGAAGGGAATGCAATTCTCGTTCTTCGAGACCGGCCATACCGACAACGCCGCTGGCCAGACCCTCCAAAAGAGAAGTGGCGCACAAGAAAACACAAAGTTTGACGCTGAAACATTCCTTCCAGGATTGAACCCGTTCGTGGATTGAACGGACACAACGTCTTGAGCAACTTCGCCACCCGTGGCGTGCGAGTCACAGTGTTGTCAGCGAGACGCCGCAAGTGTTGTTGTTGCAACCCGGCCGGGGGCGGAGAAGCATCGCCGCAGCCGTTGGCACTAGCACAAGACATTGGGCTGAGCCGCACCGTGCTGGGGCGGTAGGTTGAAGAACATAATTTTGATCACAATCAACCCATAGAAACTGGCCGCCGAGGTCGAGCACGAGACTGATGGGGACAAGCCGGTTCTTTGTTTAATGGTGGGAGATATTGAAGTGTGAGGCGTCTTTGGAGACAGGGAGGACGAGAGCTTTGGGCGGAAGGATTGCTGGAAATGAAGGAGAAATGAAAAGAAGATGAGAGATGAAAAGAGAAGGAATGAAGAGAAGAAGAGATGCCATTGCGGATTGTTGCGTGGAGAGATGGAGGGAAGCCCAATCTATTTATAGTTGTTGTAGTTGAGCATAGTTTTGATTAATTTATTAAATATTTGCAGATTATGTGTCACTCCATGGCTGGACAGTCAAAGGAAGTCAATTCAATCACGGCAACTAAACTCAATCCAGTTTTGACTTGGGACATGTTAATCGGGTTTATTTAAAACATACAGAAAATTACGTAAGGATAATGTTAGCTTACAGGGACGAAGTTTTCTTAGCTTAATCACGTCATTAATTTAACTTTATCCATTAACTAAAATGTCTTAATATAAATGGAAGGGTTATGGTGATGCTGCTTATCGATAAAACTACTTGCACGTGTAAACTGTTAAAATGATTTAGAGGGCACCGTGATATCGAAATATTCAGTAGAATAAGGGTGAGAGACATGTTTAAGTGGTTCGGATGCTCGCAAGCGAATCCTACGTCCATTGCTATTGTATTAATAAAAGAGTGATCGGATTACGTTAGCGAGCTGAATTACAATTTAGAGAGTGAGAGCTATTTCAGCATGAAAATTAGTTAATCCCCCAATAAGAAGAAGCCTTCTATTTATAGTAGAAAAGTTCAAGGTAAGATTATGAAAGCTGTAAGTGGGTAGGTGTCTACAAATCATTTCTTTGCGTCATTGATCACTTGCCCGAGGGATTTCCTTGATTAAAGTAGGTTTTTGACACATGGGTGATCTCCAGCCACTTGCGACTGACATTCACCGCTACACTGATGAGTCATGCCACTTGCGTCAGCACATGTGGCCACACCTGAACGACCATAGAATCACTTCTGACTCTGATTATCCTTTACTAACGAGGTTTACATAGCTCTATTTTTTTTGGACAAAATAGTTATATATAGATTTTGTGAGCCATCAAAATGTCAAATCAAGTGAGTACTATCCCGGCAAGAATTTCTATAAACAAATTGCAAATTACGAATTAGTCAAATGGCCGATACAATGAATATCATTACAAAGTGGCCAAAAACAAATAATTATGGAATGAAATGGGATCCAGGAGAAGTTTGATTTCTTTCTTTAGTTTCGTCGAGCAAAATTCAGAAATCCAATATTGTTGCCAATTAACTTGCATTGACATCCGCATATTTGTTGCATCATCGTGTGCATGATGACTATAATTTTTAGCCTAGCCCAGGTTGATGAACAGATCTAAATTAATATCAAATAAATAAAAACTTTAGCCAAATCCTTTAACACAAGATTTGTACAAATATCTTTAGTACACAATATTTTTACATATTGTTCTATACAATTTTACATAAATCTTCCATTGACCACAATCAAAAACCTTGGTAACAAAAATGAATATCAAATTACCATATCTTCCATCCTCCCCACATTTCTAGCTCCATAAAAATTCCATCTAGCGCCAAAACTCATCTTCAGTACCAGAGGAATTTTTTTTTTTTTTTTTTTTTTTTTTTAATAAAAGAAAATTTGGGTAACCCAACGGTTAAGGGTGACCAAAAGAAGCTGCAAATGATACATATCTTGTCCATGGATTATTTTGGGGGGCCATGGTGTTTGTTTGTAGAAATGGGGATAGTCTCTATGAGGATTAGTCAAGCTGACTCGGATACCTCAGTTATTCCGGTTCGATTATCCATGGACGCAAATGATTAGTCAATGTGCGTGTAAACTGGCCATTGAAGCAAAACTTCCACCGACCAAAACCAAAACCAAGTAAGCAAAAGCTTAACTAATAATGAGCAAGAGCAAGTGAAACTGGAATTTCCATGAGCGTTTGGCCATGGCATTTCTGTGGTCATGTGATGAGAAGTCTTAAGTTTCACACAAGGAGAAGAATTTCACAAACCAACCAGTGACCAGCAAATTTAAAGTTAGAGACTGGTGCCAAATGATGTGAAATTAATATAAACAATGTCTTGCACAACGATATCAAAACAAGATGGAAATGGAGTTTCAAATCAATTGAAACTCCAGAGTCTTATTCCAAAAATGTTTTCATTTATTGAATTTGATACATGCCATTACAGAAATTTTTCAATCTAAACTAACAGAGAGCCTCACTACACAGTTACAGCTTTCCCTGAAGCAGCACTCTCTGATTCTGCTCGTCTAAATGTATGTTCAAGAATCCACTTCTAGGCGATGCCTGCAGAGTCATGAAAAATACAGATCAGTATGTAACAATCATTTATGTTAACAATGAATATATGTTTGTGATTTATTAAAAGAGGGAGAGATCATACTGCATATGCACAAAATCATTCTCCCCAGCTTTCGACTCCAAAAGGTGCCAAAGCACAATGTGCACTCCACAAACAGATCCTAATACAGACAAGAAACCAACATAAGTCTTCATTAGGTTTATTTCACTATAGAGAGTTGATCAGATACTTGTTTCATCTTAGTTACCACATTTCCAAATCTGGGAAATGTCGTGCGAACAAAACTAGAATTTGCAGAATGGATTAACCAAGAGTGTGACCGTGTGAAACATCTTTTGCGTTGGTGGAAGTAAGCGAATATGTTCATCCTTAGAAGTGGATAAAGATATGACTTCAGACTTCTAACAGAAATCAGATTTGAAGTTATATTAGATAACTATCGTCAAGATTAACATTTTGGTAGAAGTCCCAAGCTCACAAAGTAGGTGATGTTATTTTTCTATGGCAATGGAAGTATATGATATAAAATTATTCATTCAAATAGTCACCTAACACAAATGCCAAAAGATATTACCTCATTGATGCCAAATTTTGGGCAGAAGAATCTGCTATAAAAATCAAATCCGGATTCTGATGGCGCTGCCCTGAAACTATTAGCCTCTTCCAGGACAATTCTGTATGTCATCAAACTGTGGCTGTAATTTCCACAACAGATTTTGCTGATGGAAGTACCACCTAATAAATTTTCACCAATTACTAAATGATGAAGAATGAAGAAAAAAATCAGAGGTGAAGGGTCAAGAGGATTACAAAGATGTCTCTGAGTAGTTGTATCTTCATATCAATAATTGTGAGAAACATTCAAGGCCTTATAATTGAAGAAACCTCAGCAGAATTGAAGTCGTAGATGGAACAGTAGGAAAATTCAATTCAATAAATAGCACTCTTTTGCTTCACCGTTAGAGACACTGGTTGCCTCCAAATCGGAACCTTTTTGGCAGTCAGAATTCCAGAAGTGTTTCAAATTCAATCGCGTTAGATTTCACCAAGCCTCTCGAAAGAGAGAGGTGTGCGCTGCTAACGTTGCATGACACAAAGTTTGACCTGCAAAAGAAAGGGTAAGAATTAATTGTGTTTAAAATTACTTTTAATGTAAAATTTAAGCAGAAAATTATGTTGCTGGGAAAGAAAACGGACCTCAGCAACAGGGGTGAACCATCTGAGTCGAACCGGGAGGAGAGTCGGACTCGAGTGAGTGAGGGAGTAAGTAAAGTTTCAGAGATATTGAACTCGAGAGCTACGGATTGTAACCTCCTCGTCCCGGTCTCTATCTAACAAACAAACCGCAGCTGGGTTGCCTTGAAGGGTGAATCTGTAATGCATCCACCTGCGGATGAGAGATACAACCAGAGCAGAAAGAAGTAAAATCAAGGTAAAGATGGTGCTTTGGTGTAAGTGATGAGAAATGGAGAGAGAGAGTGATTACCACTGAGTATTGGACGAGTTTCTTGGCCATTATGGAGCTGTTTGCAGAAATAAGTACTGAGTTGTGGAGTATGAAGGGAAGTGAAGAGCACGGCCAGGCTTTAATAAAGAAACGAAGTCTTATTTTATTGCATAAGATTCCGTAGAGGTTTTGCTTCTTCCCAAGTACAACCCACCTATCAACTAGCTTAGTAAGTATACAACACACGACATGGCTTCGTTGATCATAATGGACGCCCATGCTTTAGCCGTTGCTGATGTACAACATGGTCAAATCCAAGAGAGATTTCTAAAAAAGGGTATCTCGATGTACGACTGATTAATCAACTTGTCAGCGTCATAATACCGAATTTCAACGGTGATAGTCAGAATTGACAGCATTGTATGTATAGGGGTTCCTTGTAGTTTTATTTTATAATTTTTTTATATTGCGTGTTAAATTAATAGCAACGCCGAGTTACTAATGTTGAATGTTTAAATTCTACCTAGTATAATGCACCTAACGCTACGTCCTAATAATATTTAAAAATACTACTCAAATAATTTAAAAAACAATTAGTACAGTCATATTTGAGTAAACGGACTTTTTCCCCACCTAAGGTGTGCTTAATGCTTACTTTTCCACCCCAAAAATTCAAAATATCACAATTTCTCACCCGAAGTTATATTCTATTAATAACAAATAACTCACTTCTTAATTTACAGTCATTTTGACGAATTACCAGGTTGCTCGGTGAGAGTGCTTGTATGGATGGAAAGGCTATAGACGCATGATGGTGACTGATTGATATTAGCCCGTTAGAATTAGTCAGAAATCAGCTAACAATAGAAACCTTAGGTTTTACCAAGTGACTACAATCGACGCCAAGAATCCGGTGTCAAGTAAGACGGAAGGTTTTATGAGAAGATAGTTGGAGATTCAACATGGTGAGTAACATACAAGAATTTAAAGCCGTCCGAATAGGATGTTGGGTATAACATAATATTATTGAATGAAAAAACGGTATTTTTAAATCATATTAACTAACCCAAACCTTATTTATACATAATGATAGGAGCAACGCCTGGCCTAGCGAACACTTTTACCAGATTCTGCTTCCTGGGCATTTCAGGGAAACAGGACAAGACAGTAAGTTTGGTGAGCCGGGCGAACCTTTATTTGTTTATATTGTCATTTCATTGACCGATCCTTTGCTCTGTAAACTGTTATTGAACCAAATTGAGTATACGTTCAAAAACAAGCATTTCTACCAGTGTTAGACAGCTATATGTCTTCAGCACGAAGAGTGTATTTCTTCATGAAAACAAACTATTATCATGGGCAAAAAACCAATCAAGTGGTCAAGAAGGTTAATTATCAATTCTAAAGGAAGCTGATTGCGTAACTCCACATTTGCATGAATGATATTTAAGCCTAAGATCATAAAAGCTACATACACCGACGCTTCCCTGAATTGAATCATTAAACACTAAGATACTAAAATTCTACAGACACGGACGCGTTCACATGCAATTTTTACAAATACACGACGAGCCTTTTCAACTGAATCCGAACGACCAGTATATCATGTTAACAAATAATTTGGCGATGTATCATGGTCGTATATTGATTAGTTGAGTACGACCGTGCATTTGAAATGAAACTCTATCCATCGTATATGGACGATTGTCCACTTAGACAGGATACCCGTTCATAGTTAAAATAAAAAAAATTATTCTAAACTGTTTATAACGTCCATCCTCTATGAGCGGATGATTGTCCATCTTTCAATATTACCAAATTTCTGTTTGAATAAAACAAAAAAAAAAATATTCTTAAATTTTCATAAAATGTTTAAAAATTTAGGCTTCCGACATAATTTTATTTCTCTCTTGCTTTGCATTTTGTTATACAAGAAATTTTTTTTTGACAAAAATTAAAAATAATAAATAAATTTTAGAACTGGAATTGCGTTCACGAATCTGGATGCCATCCAAATTAGCCGCCAGGCCATCAAATGAGGGATTCCAGTCAAATTCTCAAATATATATATATATTTTTTTAATTTTCAAATTTTTTTTAGATTGAAAGGCTTAGACAAATCTAACTGCGCGTCCAGATTTTACTTAAAATCAAACTTCTTTTTCTTTTATTTTATCTAAAAATTGTACACTTTAAAAACGAATATTTCATTAATTAACAATGAAGACGTCCATCTAAAGGGACATCTGTCCACTGAATATAAAAATTGTTTGATTGGGCGTCTATCTTATATGGACACCGTCATAGTAAATAGACATCCATCCATATAAGATGGAAGGGCATATATTATTTTTTAATTTTTTGGACAGGCATCCATTTAAATAGACACTCGTCCATATAATAGGAATGAGAGGTCCATAAATAGGGTGGACATTCTAAATGTTGGACGGCCGTCATCACGGAAAAACTCCAGCGTGGTCCGCGTCTAACTGGTTGCTATTACTTCAGTCCATAAATTCGGTATAAAATTTCGGTGTCCGTAGTGTTATCGATCATATACAGGGGGGACAAATTATCTACAGACACATGCAGCAACAACCTATCAAAATAATCTTGAACCTTCAGCACAAGCCACTCTCCATCTCACTCTCGTTAATGAAGGCCCGTATGCAATCCTGTAAGCAAAAAGAAATTCAACTACTAATAACAACAAAGTAACAACTCTGGATTAAAATTATTAAAGGAGAACGGACTGTCACTTGTTGGCACTAAAAATGAAGAAAGAAGAGAACCTTGAGGGATATTAAGATCAGAGAATCATTGATACAGTTAAATCATAATTGAATATCTAATGAAACCACTAAGCACAAAGGCAAGGATATATTCATACCTCATAGCCCTCAATCAGTTCTGAAAGAAAAAGCTACGGCGAAGGCCTCTCTTGTTCGTCAATAAACTCGATGCCATGCAATTTAAAACAGCTATATTCTCAGCATGACATGGACCTTTCCTTCTTTGGAGATGAGCTATTCAGAGTGGTAAATATAGCACTAAACAAACGAAAAAAGGCAGGGTGGAGCATTTGGCCAGTATACACATCAAATAACCACTAAACGTTTGGTGGAAGTGAATGCATGCATTGGCAACATCCTCTTGTCAAACTAGATACAGAATTTAAAATTTGGACAGAATTTATGATTAAGAGAAACATAAATACCGCTGATGTCCGTATATTTCTGAGTATTCGTTTATAGGCTTTAAATCTAAAGGATTGCCATGAAAGAACTTAACTTGCATGAACACCCGCATTTTTGTTGCTCATCGTGATGCATTGAAGACTGTAATTTTTCCATGAAAGTGGAAAATTTTTGTTGTATGACTTTATAAAAGCTATGTAATACAGTAACAGAACTCGTAAAAATTGACTAACACATAAATAATAAGTTTGTGTTTACACTTTGATATTTAGACACAGTAAGCTGAACGAGTTACGTTTAATGAAGATTTGACATATATGAAGTGATACGAAAACCGTTTTAAAACAACCAATTAATTATTTTTGACCAAGTTTCATGGAACTGTTGAGAGAGAATTTTAGCCTAGGTAGCCAGGTGTTAGTGAACCAGAATTAAACTAACAGAGGCTCCCATCACGCGACACGCTGTTCTTGCAGCAAACCCTCTGATCCCCTCATCTAAAAACCTCACTTCTGGGTGATCATGCCTACATTGCATGGTAAAGTGTAAATTATATATCTAATCAATAAGCATTAACATTATTACGTAAAATTTGAATTATTTTTTGAGGCATTCTTCCCAGTTTTTTACTCAAATCACGCTCACTTTGACTCTTGAAATGCAATATCTACCCTTATAAATAATTAATCGAAAATTAATATCAACTAAAATAATAAAATTTAAAGCAAATCTTGTAACACAGATTTGTACAAAATCTTTAGGACAACATATTTTTACATATATGTTCTATACAAATTTTACATAAATCTTCATTAACCAGGATCAAAACCCTGGTAACAAAAAAGAATATCAAATTAAACAAATATCTTCCATCTCTCCCCACATTTTAGCTCCATACAAATTCGATCTTTAGCTCTCTAACTCTATCTTCAGTTCAAACAGGATTTTTTTTTTTTTTTTTTTTTAAATAAAAAGAAAATCTTGGGTAACCAACGGTAAGGGCGACCAAGGAGGCTACAAGCTAATATCTTTGTCAATGATTTACTGAGGGCCATGGCGGTGGATTGCCATGGGATAGTTTCCTTGAGGTTAGTCAAGTTGGTTAGGATATCTCAGTTAGTTTAGGTGCGATTTCCCCATGGGCGTTAAATGATTAGTCGAGATATGCGTAAATTGGCCATTGAGCAAAAACTTCCCAACGACCAGAACCAAAATTCAAGAGAAGAAAAGTTAACTAATAATGAGTAAATCAGAATTTCATGTCAAAGAGAACTAAAAATCTCATAGGTGTGAATCCTATCAGAGAGGCCATCAGGAAGAAAGTTTTTACAATGGCTATGAGTTTAAGTATCACTTCCATTTCAAAAGTTACAACAATAAGAGAAAGAGAGGAAAAAGAGCTAGAAATTGAAACACCCACCTGCTTAGTTGTTTCCTTTAGTCCTTTTAAGATGTTGTTGTGACAAAAATTTTCGTTTTTTGGAATTTATTGGGGAGAGGATGATCGAAGCGTTGGTATGCTAACAAGATTTGATTACTATTTTCAGTTAAGCTTTTCTTACTTAAGTTTTGGTTTTGGCCTCATGTTTCTCTGTTATAAACCTCATTGAAACGGAATTTCCAATGAGCAAGTAGAATGCCATGGATTTCTGGTGTCAATGTGATGAGCCTCTTAAGTTCGCACAAGGAGAAGAATTTCACAACCAACCAGCTGACCAGCAAATTTAAAGTTAGTTAGAGAGGTGCCAAATGATGTGAAATTTCATATAAACAACTGTCTGACAAGGTCATCAAACAAGATGAAGAATGGAGTTTAAATCTCTCAATTGAAACTCCAGGTATTATTCCAGAAAATGTTTTCACTTATTGAATTTGATAATGCACATTACAGACGTTTTTTAAATCTAAAAACTACAGAGAGCCTCCATCACAGTTACAGCTTTCTCGAAGCAGCACTCTCGACGGTCTGCTCGTTCTAAATGTATGTTCAAGGACTCCCACTTCTAGGCGATGCTGGAGAGTCATGAAAATAATACGATCAGTATGTAACAATCATTTATGTTAACAATTGAATATATGTTGTGTGTAATAAAAGAGGGAGAGATCATACTGCATATGCCACAAAAACATTCTTCCCCAGCTTTCGACTCCAATAAGGTGCCAAAGCACAATGGCCTCCTTCCAAAACAGGATCCTCAATACAAAACAAGACAACAAACGAAGTCTAATTAGGTTTATTCAATCTATAGAGAGTTGATCTAGATAATTTTCATCTTAGGTTACCACAGTCAAATCTGGAAAGGTGTTTCGAACAAAACTAGGATTTGGGTTCAGACTAGAATGGATTAGCAAGGGTGACTGTTGGTGAAACATTCTTTGCATTGGTGAAGTAAGCGAATAGGTTCATTCTTAGCAGTGGCATAAAGATATAGATTTTAGACTCTCACAGAATAGATTGAAGTATATTAGATAACTATTGTCAAGATTTAACATTTTGGTAGAAGTCCAAGCTCAAAAAAGTAGGTAGAGTTATTTTCTATGGCAATGGAAGTCATATAGATATAAAATTATTCATTCAAATAGTCACCTAATACAAAATACCAACAGATATTACCTCATTGATGCCAAATTTTGGGCAGAAGGAATCTGCATAAAAATCAAATCCGGTTCTGATGGCGCGTGCCCTGAAACTATATGCCTTTTCCAGGACAATTCTGGATGTCCAAACTGTGGCTGTAATTCCACAACAGATTTTGTGAGGGAAGTAACACCTAAAAATTTTCACGCATACTAAAATATGATGAAGAATGAAGAAAAAAAATCAGAGGGTGAAGGTCAAGAAGGATTAAAAGATGTCTTCTGATGTAGTTGTTATCTTCATATACATAATTGTAGAAAACATTCAGGCCTTATAAATTGAAGAAACTCAGCAGAAATGGAGTCGGTAGGTTGGAACAGAGGAAAATTCAATCAATAAAATCAGCACTCTGTGTGCTCTACCGTTAAGAGGACACTGGTTGCCTCCAAATCCGGAACTTTTTGGCAGTCAGAATTCCAAGAAAGTGGTTCAAATCAATCGCGTTGAGATTCACCAAGCCTCTCGAAAAGAGGGAGAGTGTGCAGATTGCTAACGTTGCAGAACCACAAAAGTTGACCTGCAAAAAGAGAAGGGTAAGAATCTATGTGTTAAAATACCTTTTTAATGTAAAAATTTTAAAGCAGAAATTATGTTGTGAGGACAAGAAAAACGGACACTCAAGCAACAGGGGGGAACCATCTGAGTCGGAAACCGGGGAAGGAGGTCCAGGGCGCGGTAGGTGAGGTTGAGGCGAGTTAAGTAACCGGTTTCAGAGATATTGAACTCGAGAGCTACGGATTGTAACCAGTCCTCGTCCCGGTCTTCATCTAACAAACAAACCGCAGCTGGGTTGCCCTTGAAGGGTGAATCTGTGAATGCATCCACCTGCGGATAGAGAGATACAACCAGAGCAGAAAGAAGTAAAATCAATGTAGAAAGCTGGTGCTTTGGTGTAAGTGATGAGAAATGGAAGAGAGAGAGTGATTACCACTGAGTATTGGACGAGTTTCTTGGCCATTATGGAGCTGGTTTTGGGCAGAGATAAAGGTACTGAGTTGTGGAGTGTGAACTATGAAGGGAAGTGAAGAGCCACGGCCAGGCTTTAAAGTTTAAATAAGAAACGAAGTCTTATTTTATTGCATAAGATTCCAAGTAGGAGTTTTTTGCTTTCTTCCCAAGTACAACCCACCTACTCCACTGGTTATACAAACAAACATTGTCTCCTATCACTAACCTTCAACCATCAAATGGTCAGAACTACGATTAGAGTCATTCAACGGTGGCTGTTAATTAAGAAATCATTCTATTAGAAAATTTAACCATTGTATATTGAATATATATTAAAGAAAATATAAAATATCACATGTATACCATATTATTCAGTTAATATATTGAGTAAACGAACAATTTCCAACCCAAGGTTTGCCTCAATGATATTTCTCACCCAAAATATTTCAAAATATCACTTTCCCACCTAAAGTTTATATTTTATTAATACTCAAAATACACTTCACTTTCTCGGTCAGCGTTCAACGAGTTATCAGGCGCCACGGTAAGAGGGGTGTTATAGAATGGAGGCTAGTAGATCGAATGATAGTGACTGATTGAATATTAGCCGTCAGAATTAGCCAGAAATTACCTAAGAACAAGAAACACTAGTTTTGCGATGACTAGCAATTAGCGAGAAATCAAGTGTCGGAGTGAAATGAGTTTTGTAAAGAAGAGATTGAATGTTCAAATGATAATAACAAAGAGAATTTTAACCGCCAAAATTGGTTTCGGGTAGTAACATAATATTAACTTTGGATGAAAAAGTGATATTTTAAAACCTTTTGGATAAAAAATATCATTAAGGCAAACCCTCCGGTGGGAAAAAGTTGTTTACTCTTAATATATCACTCGTGGAATTAGATCAACAATACCAAACTTGGTCAGTTAATACATATATTAATATTAAATCTAACAAATTCATGTTAAAATTTTGAGTTTTCCTTTCCTTATCTAGTATCATGTCAAATATGCTTATTATTAAGCTACAAGTATGCAGTGTCCTTGGTGATACAATTTTGGTTTTTGACCCAATAATATGTAATGATGCTTGCTTGCCTTCAAATTCTGCATAAAATGAAATGAATCCCTTGAACCTTTCATTTCATGCCAGTAATGCTTGCGAAGTTGCTGGATTAGAGGAAATAAAGAATGTCACAATCAACTTATCCAGTAAAAAAGAACAGCTTCCACATCAGCATAAAGAAACAGGCTAATGCCCTTGATAAACACTAATCTTGTGTTGACTTGGTGACTACATAGAACCCAGTTTTTTAAAGCTACCTGTCAATGAACTAGTTGACAGTAGATAATTGAGACAGGGAAATCAAATTGCTTCATCAAGATACATGAAGTTTCACAATTAAATCATATTATTATACACAACCTTATTTATATCCATCATGAATAGGAGAATCCTGGCTAGCGAAACTTTTACCAGATTCCTTCCTTGGACATTTTCAGAAAATGGGACAGGGTAATGTTTGGGAGCTCGGGCGAAACCCTTTTCTTCTTTTTTATCTTTGTCATCTTCATTGACTCCGAATCCTTCGATTCTGTAACTGTTATTGAGACCAAATTGTAGAACTGTTCAAAACAAGAATTTCTACATGTTAGACAGCTATATGATCTTCAGCATAGAATAGTGATTTCTTCATGAAAAACTATTTTCATTGTGCAAAACACATCAAGGTGTCAAGAAAGGATTAATTCATCAAATTCTAAAGGAAGCTGATTGCGTAACTCCACATTTGGCATGAAGTGAATCATTTAAACTAAGATCATAAAAATGCTACAGACACCGACGCTTTACACTGAATTGAATCATTTAAACTAAGATCATAAAAATTCTACAGACACCGACGCTTTACACTGAATTTTTACAATAAACGACGTGTCCACTGAATCAGACGACCCATGTATCATGTTAACAAATATTTTGCGAATGAATGGTCGTCTATTGTTATTGGACGACCGTTCATTTGAAATGAACTCCTATCCATATTATATGGACGGTTGTCCACTTAGAATAGATACCCGTTCATAGTTTAAACTAAAAAAAATTATTCTAAATTGTTTATAAACGTCCATCCTCTTATGAGGATGATTGTCCATCTTTCAATATTAACAAATTTTAGTTTAATAAAAAAAAATTCTTTTAAATTTTCAATTAAAATGTTTAAAAATTTAGGCTTCCCGAAATAAGTTTTATTTCTCTCTTGCTTTGCATTTTGTTTATAAATGAAAATTTTTTTTTGAAAATTAAAAATAAATAAATAAATTTTAGAATGGAATTGCGTTCACTCATTTGGATGGCCATCCAAATTAGCCGCCATGGCCATCCAAATGAGTGGATGCCAGTCCATTCTCAAATATATATATATATTTTTTTTAATTTTCAAATTTTTTTTAGATGAAATGCTTAGACAATATCTAACTGCGCGTCCATACTTTTACTTAAAATCAAACTTCTTTTTCTTTTATTTTATCTAAAAATTGTACACTTTAAAAACGAATATTTCATCTTAATTAAACAATGGACAGACGTCCATCTAAAAGGGACATCTGTCCACTGAATATAAAATTTTTTGGATGGGCGTCTATCTTATATGGACACCCGTCTATAGTAAATAGACATCCATCCATATAAGATGGACGGGCATCTATTATTTTTCTTTTAAATTTTTTTGGACAGGCATCCATTTAAATAGACACTCGTCCATATAATATGAATGAGAGTCCATTAAATATGGGTGGACATTCATAAATGTTGGACGGCCGTTCATTCACGAAAAACTCCAGCGTGGTCGCGTCTAACTGGTTGCCATATCCTTCAGTCCATAAATTCGGTATAAAATTTCGGTGTCCGTAGTGTTACTCGATCATATACAGGGGGGACAAATTACTTCACAGACACCATGCAGCAACAACCTATCAAAATAATCTTGAACCTTCAGCACAAGCACATCTCCATCTCCACTCTCGTTAATGAAGGCCCGTATGCAATCCTGTAAGCAAAAAGAAATTTCAACTACTAATAACAACAAAAGTTAACAACTCTGGATTATAAAATTATAAAAGGAGAACGGATGTCAACTTGGTTGGCACTAAAAATGAAGAAAGAAGAGAACCTTGAGGGATATTAAGATCAGAGAAATCATTGATACAGTTAAATCATAATTGAATAACATTTCTTAATGAAACCAAATGATTTAAAACAAACAGGAGAAAGCACAAAGGCAAGGATATTCATACCTCATAGCCCTCAATCAGTTCTGAAAGAAAGCTACGGCGAAGTGCCTCTCTTGTTCGACAATCAACTCGATGCCATGCATTTAAAACAGCTATCTTCTCAGCATTGACATGACCTTTCCTCTTTGGAGATGAGCTATTCAGAGTGGTAATAATATTAGCCTACCACAAAGAAAAATGGCAAGGGTTGGAGCATTTGGCCAGATTACACATCAAATAACACTAAACGTTTGGTGTGAGTGAATGCATGCATTGGCAACATCCTTTCTTGTCAACTATACAGAATTTAAAATTTTGGGACAGAATTTTATGATTAAGAGAAACATAAATACCTCTTTGTCCATGTCTATATTCCTGAGTTATTCGTTTATAGGCTTTAAATCTAAATGATTGCCATGAAAGAACTTTAACTTGCATTGAACACCCGCATTTTTGTTGCATCATCGTGATGCATTGAATGACTGTAATTTTTCCATGAAAGTGGAAATTTTTTGTATGACTTTATAAAAGCTATGTAAATACAGTAACTATCAAAATGTCAAAATCAAGTGAGTACTATCCCGGCAGAATTTCTATAAACAAATTGCAAATTACGAATTAGTCAAATGGCCGATACATGAATATCATTACAAAGTCGGCCAAAAACAAATAATTATGGTAATGAAATGGAGATCCAGGAGAAGTTTATTTCTTCTTTATTTCGTTCGAGCAAAATTCAGAAATCCAATATTGTGGGCCAATTAACTTGCATTGACATCCGCATATTTGTTGCATCATCGTGATGCATGAATGACTATAATTTTTAGCCTAGCCCAGGTTGATGAACAGATCTAAATTAATATCAAATAAATAAAAACTTTAAGCCAAATCCTTTAAAAAAACACAAGATTGTACAAAATATCTTTAGTACAACAATATTTTTACATATACTGTTCTATACAGTTTTACATAAATCTTCCATTGAACCCAATCAAAACTTGGTTAACAAAAATGAATATCAAATTAACATATTTCCATCCTCCCCACATTTCTAGCTCCATAAAAATTCCATCTAGTCCAAAAACTCGATCTTCAGTACAAGAGGAATTTTTTTTTTTTTTTTTTTTTTTTTTAATAAAAGAAAATCTTGGGTAACCCAACGGTTAAGGGTCGACCAAAAGAAGGCTGCAAATGATACATATCTTTGTCCATGGATTATTTTGGGGGGCCATGGTGTTGTTATGATATGGATGGGGATAGCTCCCCTATGAGGATTAGTCAAGCTGATCGGATACCTCAGTTATTCAGGTTCGATTATCCATTGGACGCAAAATGATTAGTCAATGTGCGTTTGTAAACTAGGCCATTGAAGCAAAACTTCGCACCGACCAAAAACCAAAACGAATGTAAGAAAAGCTAACTAATAATGAGCAAGAGCAAGTGAAACTGGAATTTCCTATGAGCAAGTATTGGCCATGGCATTTTGGTGTCAACTGTGATGAGCAGTCTTAAGTTTCACAACAAGGAGAAGAATTTCACAAACCACACAGACTGACCAGCAAATTTAAAGTTAGAGACTGGTGCCAAATGATGTGAAATTCATATAAACAATGTCTTGCACAACGTATCAAAACAAGATGGAAATGGAGTTTCAAATTCAATTGAAACTCCAGAGTTTATTCCAAAAAATGTTTTTCATTTATTGCATTTGATACATGCCATTACAGAATTTTTCAATCTAAACTAACAGAGAGCCCTCCTCACAGTTACAGCTTTCCCTCGAAGCAGCACTCGTCTGATTCTGCTCGTCTAAATGTATGTTCAAAGAATCCACTTCTAGGCGTGCCTGGCAGAGTCATGAAAAATACAGTCAGTATGTAACAATCATTTATGTTAACAATGAATATATGTTTGGTGATATTAAAGAGGGAGAGATCATACTGATATGCACAAAATCATTCTCCCCAGCTTTCGACTCCAAGAAGGTGCCAAAGCACAATGTGCACTCCACAAACAGGATCCTAATACAACAAGAAACAACATAAGTCTTCATTAGGTTTATTTCAATCTATAGAGAGTTGATCAGATAATTGTTTCATCTAGTTACCACATTTCCAAATCTGGGAAATGTCGTGCGAACAAAACTAGGATTTGCGTTCAGAATGGATTAACCAAGATGGTGACCGTGTGAAAACATTCTTTTGCGTTGGTGGAAGTAAGCGAATATGTTCATCTAGAAGTGGCATAAAGATATAGATTGCAGACTTCTAACAGAAATCAGATTTTGAAGTTATATTAGATAACTATCGTCAAGAATTAACTTTGGTAGAAGTCCCAAGCTCACAAAGTAGGTAGATGTTATTTTTCTATGGCAATGGAAGTCATATGATATAAAATTATTCATTCAAATAGTCACCTAACACAAATGCCAACAAGATATTACCTCATTGATGCCAAATTTTGGGCAGAAGAATCTGCTATAAAATCAAATCGGATTCTGATGGCGCTTGCCCTGAAACTATTATGCCTCTTCCAGGACAATTTGTATGTCATCAAACTGTGGCTGTAATTACAACAGATTTTGCTGATGGAAGTACCACCTAATAAATTTTCACCATTACTAATATGATGAAGAGATGAAGAAAAAATCAGAGAGTGAAGGGTCAAGAGGATTACAAAGATGTCTTCTGAGTAGTTGTATCTTCATATCAATAATTGTAGAAACATTCAAGGCCTTATAAATTGAAGAAACCCAGCAGAATTGAAGTCAGTAGATGGAACAGTAGGAAAATTCAATTCAATAAAATAGCACTCTTTGCTTCACCGTTAGAGACACTGGTTGCCTCCAAATCGGACCTTTTGGCAGTCAGAATTCAGAAGTGTTTCAAATTCAATCGCGTTAGATTTCACCAAGCCTCTCGAAAAGAGAGAGGTGAGGCAGCTGTAACGTTGCATGACACAAAGTTTGACCTGACAAAAGAAAAGGGTAAGAATTAATGTGTTTAAAATTACTTTAATGTAAAATTTACCCGCAGAAAATTATGTTGCTGAGGAAAGAAAACGGACCTCAGCAACAGGGGTGAACCATTGAGTCGAAACCTGGAGGAGAGTCGGACTCGAGTGAGTGAGGAGGTCAAGTAAAGGTTTCAGAGATATGAACTCGAGAGCTACGGATTGTAAACTCGTCCTGTCGGTCTCATTTCTAACAAAACAAACCGCAGCGGGTTGCCTTGAAGGGTGAATCTGTGAATGATCCACCTGCGGATAGAGAGATACAACCAGAGCAGAAAGAAGTAAAATCAAGTAAAAAGTGGTGTTTGTGTAAGTGATGAGAAATGGAAGAGAGAGCGATTACCACTGAGTATTGGACGAGTTTCTTGGCCATTTGGAGCTGACTTTAGGCAGAAAGAAGTACTGAGTTGTGGAGTATGAAGGGAAGTGAAGAGCACGGCCAGGCTTTAAAGTTTAAACAAGAAACGAAGTACTTATTTATTGCATAAATTCCAGTAGGAGGTATTTGCTTTCTTCCCACAGTACAACCCACCTATCAACCTAATTTAAGTATAACACAAGACATGGGCTCCGTGATCATCAATGGCACGGCCATGCTGGTTGCGCTTCTGATGATTAACATGGTCAAATCCAAGAAGATTGCTAAAAAAGGTTTCTCGATGTACGCATGTTAAATACAACTGTCATGCGTCATATACCAGAATTTCAACGTGATAGTCATAATTGACAAGCTGTGTCATGGTAGGGGTTCCTGTTTTATTAATTTATATTTTTTTATAATTAGAGGTGTTAAATACATTAGCAAACGGATTACGACTATTTAATTTTGAAATTCTACCTGTAATAATCACCTAACTCTACTTACTAATAATATTAAAAAATACTCAAAGTAATTTTTAAAAAACAATTTAGTTAATATATTGAGTAACACGACTTTTTCCCACCTACAGGTTTATGCTCTTTCTCACCGTCCACACAACAAATTCAAAATATCATTCTCACCAAGTTATATTCGATAAACTAAATACCACTCACTTCTTTTTCTAGCAGTGTTGACGAGTTACCAGTGCACGGGCGAGGTGTTGTAGAGTGGAGGCTAATATACGAATGATGGTGACTGATTGAATATTAGCGTTAGAATTAGTCAGAAATCAGCTAAAATATACGAAACCTTAGGTTTTACAGTGACTAGCAATCGACGAGAGAATCAGGTGTCGGAAGTAACGAGATTTCTATAGAGAGATTAGATTGGAGATTCAAATTCGATAACATTACAAAGAATTTTAGCCGTCCGAATAGGCTGTTGGGTTAACATACATATACTTTGAATGAAAAAAGGTATTTCAAAATTTTGTTTATCAATTTAAAAGATAATATAAAATGTCCTGAAGGGAATTCAATTTAATTTGATTTTGTTTTTAATTACTCACTGAATATTACATCTCATGTGTATGTATTACAAATAATTCAATCAAATCAAAGCCAGTTGATTATTAATTACAGTCCATTATTCAAACTCTGAAGATTATATTATAACCTTGACGATGAGGACCATTAAATCACGCAACGGAAGTGGAGTTGAAGTTGGCGCAAGTAGTTTGCCTGCCGAAGAGCAAGGCACTGAAACCCAGCCGCGATGTTGCCAAATCAAACTGAAGAAGAATGTTCTCCAACTGATGCCCTCCAATCACAATCGAAGTTATCGGGTTGTTTCCGCCATTAACGAACCCAAGACAATAGACGTCCTGGTTCACCTCCACCATAGAGTTCGCTCCGAAAATGCTCCACGTCACGTTCCTCTCCAGCACCAGATTAATGGTCGGCACGTTTGGCCCCAGGCGGGTGCTCAGAATGTTGCTTGAACTAAAGCACACATCAAACGGTGCCACGGAAGCCGCCCTGGTGATGTTTCTCGCTGCGGACTGATTGATGAAAGCCTCAGTCACGGCCTTATAAATCGAGTCCTCCAACACAGTGTAGGGATTCACTGTGCTGATTTTTGTTCCACCGACGCCTTGGCTGTCTATGGAAAGTAGAGTTGTGTTTAACGGGACGACATTGTCGCCGATTTGGATGGATTTCACGCCGATGAAATATTCAGCCGAGGGCTCGCCTTGGGTGAATGCGGAGGCCGTGCTGACGGGGTTGATGAAGAGTGTGGTGAAGCTGAGGAGCTGAGAGGCATCGACATTGGGAAGGAAAACGTAAGGACTTTCTCCGAAGAAGACTACACCGTTTAAAGACGAAAGACAGATGGCAAATTTTCTCTGAAAACTGAAAGTTGAAGCAAATTGTGAAGGGAATGCAATTCTCGTTCTTCCGAGACCGGCCATACCGACAACGCCGCTGGCCAGACCCTCCAAAAGAGAAGTTGGCGCGCAAGAAAACACAAAGTTCGGCGCTGAAACATTCCTTCCAGGATTGAACCCGTTCGTGGATTGAACGGACACAACGTCTTGAGCAACTTCGCCACCCGTGGCCGTGCGAGTCACAGTGTTGTCAGGCGAGACGCCGCAAGTGTTGTTGTTGCAACCCGGCCGGGAGGAGGAGAAGCAGTCGCCGCAGCCGTTGGCACTAGCCAAGGAGCATTGGGCTGAGCCGCACCGTGCTGGGCGGTAGGTTGAAGAAACATAATTTTGATCACAATCAACCCATAAGAACTGGCCGCCGAGGTCGAGCACGAGACTGATGGGGACAAGCCGGGTTCTTTGTTTAATGGTGGTGAGATATTGAAGTGTAGAGGCGTCTTTGGAGACAGGGAGGACGAGAGCTTTGGGGCGGAAGGATTGCTGGGAAAATGAAGGAGAAATGAAAAGAAGAATGAGAGATGAAAAGAGAAGGAATTGAAGAGAAGAAGAAGATGCCATTGCGGATTGTTGCGTGGAGAGATGGAGGGAAGCCACATCTATTTATAGTTGATATGTTGAGCATAGTTTGATTAATTTATTAAATTATTTGCAGATTATGTGTCACTCCATGGCTGGACAGTCAAAGGAAGCTCAATTCAATCACGGCAACTCAACTCAATCTTTGGACCCTCATATATAAATTAAATAAAGACAAAGAATAATGTTAATCGGGTTTATTTAAAACATACTAGAAATTACGTAAGGATAATGTTAGCTTACAGGGACGAAGTTTTCTTAGCTTAATCACGTAATTAATTTAACTTTATCCATTAACTAAAATGTCTTAATATAAATGGAAGGGTTATGGTGATGCTTGATTCTGATAACAACTACTTGCACGTGTAAACTGTTAAAATGATTTAGAGGTCACACGTGATATCGAAATATTCAGTAGAATAAGGGTTGAGAGACAATGTTTAAAGTGGTTCGGATGCTCGCAAGCGAATCCTACGTCCATTGCTATTGTATTAATAAAAGAGTGATCGGATTACGTTTAGCGAGCTGAATTACAATTTAGAGAGTGAGAGCTATTTCAGCATGAAAATTAGTTAATCCCCCCAAATAAGAAGGAAGCCTTCTATTTATAGTAGAAAAGTTCAAGGTAATGATTATGAAAGCTGTAAGTGGGTAGGTGTCGTACAAATCATTTCTTTGCGTCCCATTGATCACTTGCCCGAGGGATTTCCTTGATTTAAAGTAAGGTTTTGACACATGGGTGATCTCCAGCCACTTGCTGACCTGACATTCACCTGCTACACTGATAGGAGTCATGCCACTTGCGTCAGGCACGATGTGGCCACACCTGAACGACATAGAATCCTTCTGAACTCTGATTATCCTTTACTAACGAGGTTCTACATCAGCTCTATTTTTTTTGGCAAAATAGGTTATATATAGATTTTGTGAGCCATCAAAATGTCAAATTCAAGTGGAGTACTATCCCGGCAAGGAATTTCTATAAACAAATTGCTAAATTACGAATTAGTCAAATGGCCGATACAATTGAATATCATTACAAAGTCGGCCAAAAACAAATAATTATTGGTAATGAAATGGAATCCAGGAGGAGTTTCATTTTTTTTTTATTTAGTTTCCACCAGCAAAATTCAGAAATCCAATATTGTGTGCCAATTAACTTGCATTGAACATCCGCATATTTGTTGCATCATCGTGATGCATTGAATGACTATATAANCATCAAGGTGTCAAGAAAGGATTAATTCATCAAATTCTAAAGGAAGCTGATTGCGTAACTCCACATTTGGCATGAAGTGAATCATTTAAACTAAGATCATAAAAATGCTACAGACACCGACGCTTTACACTGAATTGAATCATTTAAACTAAGATCATAAAAATTCTACAGACACCGACGCTTTACACTGAATTTTTACAATAAACGACGTGTCCACTGAATCAGACGACCCATGTATCATGTTAACAAATATTTTGCGAATGAATGGTCGTCTATTGTTATTGGACGACCGTTCATTTGAAATGAACTCCTATCCATATTATATGGACGGTTGTCCACTTAGAATAGATACCCGTTCATAGTTTAAACTAAAAAAAATTATTCTAAATTGTTTATAAACGTCCATCCTCTTATGAGGATGATTGTCCATCTTTCAATATTAACAAATTTTAGTTTAATAAAAAAAAATTCTTTTAAATTTTCAATTAAAATGTTTAAAAATTTAGGCTTCCCGAAATAAGTTTTATTTCTCTCTTGCTTTGCATTTTGTTTATAAATGAAAATTTTTTTTTGAAAATTAAAAATAAATAAATAAATTTTAGAATGGAATTGCGTTCACTCATTTGGATGGCCATCCAAATTAGCCGCCATGGCCATCCAAATGAGTGGATGCCAGTCCATTCTCAAATATATATATATATTTTTTTTAATTTTCAAATTTTTTTTAGATGAAATGCTTAGACAATATCTAACTGCGCGTCCATACTTTTACTTAAAATCAAACTTCTTTTTCTTTTATTTTATCTAAAAATTGTACACTTTAAAAACGAATATTTCATCTTAATTAAACAATGGACAGACGTCCATCTAAAAGGGACATCTGTCCACTGAATATAAAATTTTTTGGATGGGCGTCTATCTTATATGGACACCCGTCTATAGTAAATAGACATCCATCCATATAAGATGGACGGGCATCTATTATTTTTCTTTTAAATTTTTTTGGACAGGCATCCATTTAAATAGACACTCGTCCATATAATATGAATGAGAGTCCATTAAATATGGGTGGACATTCATAAATGTTGGACGGCCGTTCATTCACGAAAAACTCCAGCGTGGTCGCGTCTAACTGGTTGCCATATCCTTCAGTCCATAAATTCGGTATAAAATTTCGGTGTCCGTAGTGTTACTCGATCATATACAGGGGGGACAAATTACTTCACAGACACCATGCAGCAACAACCTATCAAAATAATCTTGAACCTTCAGCACAAGCACATCTCCATCTCCACTCTCGTTAATGAAGGCCCGTATGCAATCCTGTAAGCAAAAAGAAATTTCAACTACTAATAACAACAAAAGTTAACAACTCTGGATTATAAAATTATAAAAGGAGAACGGATATCAACTTGGTTGGCACTAAAAATGAAGAAAGAAGAGAACCTTGAGGGATATTAAGATCAGAGAAATCATTGATACAGTTAAATCATAATTGAATAACATTTCTTAATGAAACCAAATGATTTAAAACAAACAGGAGAAAGCACAAAGGCAAGGATATTCATACCTCATAGCCCTCAATCAGTTCTGAAAGAAAGCTACGGCGAAGTGCCTCTCTTGTTCGACAATCAACTCGATGCCATGCATTTAAAACAGCTATCTTCTCAGCATTGACATGACCTTTCCTCTTTAGAGATGAGCTATTCAGAGTGGTAATAATATTAGCCTACCACAAAGAAAAATGGCAAGGGTTGGAGCATTTGGCCAGATTACACATCAAATAACACCAACGTTTGGTGTGAGTGAATGCATGCATTGGTAACATCCTTTCTTGTCAACTATACAGAATTTAAAATTTTGGGACAGAATTTTATGATTAAGAGAAACATAAATACCTCTTTGTCCATGTCTATATTCCTGAATTTGTCCCACTCTCCACAATTGGTCATAGAAAAAGCTGATGGTGGCACTTCATCACCTGTAAAATTACCAGAAAATCAGTGTTGAAATAGCTTACCTTAAGAAGTAACACCACAAAGAGGTACTACATAATGATAACAAAATGCAGTGACCTATAGCAGGAATAATAGGAGAGTAGAAAAACACGTATGATAAAAAACATAATATACAAGACGTTAAGCAACCTTCTGTACCAATAAGATCTAATCCAAACTCCACATTGTAACATGTATTGGGTAAGATCGGACATGTCTCAGCTACAGAATGATAACATGATGCAGAAACAAAACTTTAGGGCAGTATGCAAGAAATTCAGAAAACGGCTAGTATTTAAATCTCTTGCATTCACATGTCTGCAAATGATAGAGGCAGCAATGTGCGTCAAAATACAGGGACAAAATTACATCTGGCTAAGCAACTGGTTATTCGTTTATAGGCTTTAAATCTAAATGATTGCCACGAAAGAACTTTAACAGGATTATATATGTGTGCATCCACACACACATAAAATCAGAAAGGAAAGATAATTATTGTATGAAGGTAGATGGGGAAATTAAGGCATATAATTACCCCAAGGTGGGGGAGCAAACAAGCCTCTAATTTCCTCTGCATCTAAGCGAGGAACAAGTTCCATCAACAAACGATCATTTAACCATCTTCGAGACCGTCGATTGCTGACCTGCAGTGTATGAGATATTAGCTCCAGAATAAACTCAAACCCCTCAAATTTATTCACTGAAATGACTTTGGCCAACACTGATCTGTCAATTCAATAATGCAAGGATTGATTTCTCTCTTCTAAATTGTCCTCCATCTTCCACCCATACCCCTTCTTATGTGCAACTCAAATAAATTCTTTTCTGCTTATATATAGTTCAATATTTTGAGGGAAGTTAATATAATTCCTTTGGAAAAGTAACACAGCATTTCATAGTACCAAAAAGACTCCTATCTGCACCACTAAATTGGATATAAATGGCAATAGTTAGACATCCAATGCAGTAAATTCCTTGGATGTGATAGTTGGATGAAGCTTTTAGCAGCCATAAAATGAAACAAGTTTTTCTATGTATGGGACTCATGGACCGCCTAAAACATTCAATCAATTTACCCCCACCTCAAAAACATGTAGTCAAAATTTTGCAGCAATAACTACCACGAAAATATGCAGCAACAACAAATCCCAAAAAAATTTAAAGTGTGATTTACATATTTCAAACCCATCAAAAATAAACCATGACTGCTCAAAACATGAGGACCAAACATAAAGTCATACAGATTGCACTAATCCCATTCACATAGATTGCCCATTTTCAGCATGTAGCCAGAACTAAAGTACAAGAAATTAGAGCCTTTGTCACACAGTTTATCAAGTTCATTCAATTTGATTTCAAAGTTCAAACTTATAATTCTCATAAAATAACAAAAATCGTCACTCTAAGTTGTGTTCTCTTAACAAACACATACAAGAATAGAAAAATAATTACTTTTCCAGTTAAGCTCTCTAAAAATTCAATCTTCTTCTCAATAGACATTCCACGCGACTTCGTACTCTCTCCTGCTCAAAAACAATACCAAAATTCAACATTTTTACAAGGCGATGAACTCATACAAATAAAAAATTGGCGATGAACTCATACAAATAAAAAATTGAAGAAATTATCAAAAAATTTAATCCGGGTATTAAAAATTATAACCGAAGAAACCTTTCTTAGGATCAAGAAGAGGAGACGAATAAAGGAGGCCTTCTTCTCTCTGCAGAACATCCGGCGACGCCATGATTGTTGATTGATGAACAGATCTGAAGCTCGTAGTTTGGGTTTGATTAATGAGATTTGAAGAGAGTGAAGGCGAACAAGCAGAAGCTGGAAATATTTAAAGGCGGTGAGCCAAACACGGCGTTAAATGAAGAGAACTGAAGGGAGAAGAAACAGGGGAGAATCTGCGAGTTTGCGATGCCTCTTGCTAATCCGTGGTTACTTGTCTGAAACCAAATCTTCAGTTTCTCCGCATATTAAAAATGTGCTTTCTATCATTGTACATTTAGATTTTAAATGCCCTTTGACTTTAACCAAAAGACCTGGTTCTGTTGTCCCAAGGTGCAACCTGTGAAAGCTGAAATTTTTGTTGGTGCTTGAGGGACACGTATGTATGAATAAACGTGAGGGGAACCTCATCCGCATGGACAGCTAAGGATATTCTCAGCATCAAAAAAGAATAAAAAAATCATTCGAAATTATTTAATTTTAAAAAGAAAAAGAAAAATTAATCTATTTTGGTAAATTATTTTATTAGATAGGTGTATTATTATTCTTTTCTTCATCTCTAATTATACATAAATTTTCATTCCTGGATTCAATAAAATCCAAGATATTGGAAATGATAAGAGGGAAACATAATAACTATCTTCAAACTTTTTTTTTTATATTTATTGGATTATAAAATATTAAAAACCGAAAAATTGTCTTAATTAAATTCGAAACATTCTGTCCAGTAAGTAACTCTTATTTTATTAATAATACGATAATTTTATTCTATTTTTTTTATAACCGGAAGTATTCGATCCAACTTATAATTTCTTAGGATTTTAAAATTATTGGTCGAATAAAAACTCTAGTGGTTACCTTTATTAGCAATTGAAGAAAGATTCGAATTCAGAACCTCTTGAGTAATACACTCAAGAATCTCTATCGAATTACTCGATCATCTAGAGATAATTATGATAATTCTTCTTTAGTAATAAGTATAAACTAAATGGATTGTTTTGATTTTGTTACAACTTTTCTTGTGCTCCATCGTATCACATTCGAATAATTTCTCTCAAAACAGAGTTGAATTCTTTTAATTTCTTCAAATTAAAAAAAAAAAAAGAAAAAGAAAAAGAAATTGCCTTTTCCAACAGGTAATTCACGGCAACTTTAGGGGCAAATTAGGTTTTTCATTACTACAGACAATACAGCTATGCAATATACTGCAAAGCAAGAATGTACGTACCAGTCATAGCTAAACAAACAAAGGTGGCGAAGGCGAAGCAACCATTTCCTCCTTCTCTTCTCCAATAACCAACACTAAACCCTAAAAATCTAATCGTAAAACTTGCCTTCTTCTTCACTAGTTTCCAATCCCTAATCCCCCAATTTCCCCATTCAATTTCCGCGCATCTTCGCTTCTCCACTCAGTCACTCACTACCCCAGTCCATTCTCCTTCTTGGCTTCGTTCATTCATTCAATCTTCTTCTTCAATAGTCCACTCTTCTCCACCATCTTCTCGTCTGATTCCAGTCCGTGTTTTGAACTTCACAAATGTAAGTAAACCCAACCTATTTTCATGAGTATGTTTCATTTTATCGCATGCCAGTCGGGATCTTGTATGTAATCTTCGTTGATTTCTTGTACTTCTCATGACAAACTGTTATTTTAATGTTTATTGGGGACGTGCTAACTGCTAAGTAGGTCTGGGAGAGAAAAATCGCGACTCTCTTTCTAATTCCTGTTTGTCCTCAGCCTCTACAAGAATTTATGCATTGGGTACACCTCCATTGTCTTCCTTCACCTCTAAAGCCCATTCACTAAAATCCTCCACGTTAAAGTTAAATGGACCAATAAGTTAGGAATCTAAATCTTCCATAATCATCATATTTGTCTTCAATACTCTGTTATTTATTATTTAATTTGTTGGGAGTAGATTATATAGGCTGAATATTAATGGTACTAAGTTTGAGAGAATATTTTATCTGAGGAGAGATGGGGCAGGCACATGGAAGCTTAATTGAGAAAGATGTTATGAAAATTGTAGTGGTAGATGTGTAATATGAAAGATGTGTCGAACTGGCGATTGTGCGTAGTAGCATGATGAGTTTGTAATGGTTTATTTCTCTTTGAAGGTGTTTGTTCTTCATACATGGTGATAGATATTCTGTAACATCAATTGTGGCCCGGAAAATTTAAAAACGATGATTGATGATTGTTTTTCTTGGTTAAACAAAGCACTTTTACTGGGGACTTAGGATTAACAAAAGTAACTTATCATTAACATTAATTTTGACATTAATTTATTGCATTAAATCAAAAACTTGGTCAGAGTATTTGTTTAATTTATTGCATTAATTTTGACATTTTAAAACTTCTTTGACATGTGTAAATTTGAGGGAATACTTGAAATAAAGAAGTCAGATGTTGACAAAAATCTCTTATGTGTCTGGTTGGTTGTTTGACTGATTTTATATATGCCTTGCGCAGTTGCGCCTTGCGGAGATTTCCTGATGAAAGTATCTTGTGCTTTTTGTACCTAATGCAGGGAAATCATGTATTTGAAGTCTCTGAGGGCCATAAATTGAAGATCACTTCTGGAAATTCAGGTCTTAATGATTTGATAACTTGGCATTTCTGAAATATTTGTGTGCTTTTTCTGCCAGTAAACTGAATCATNAAGGTACTGAGTTGTGGAGTATGAAGGGAAGTGAAGAGCCACGGCCAGGCTTTAAAGTTTAAACAAGAAACGAAGTCTTATTTTATTGCATAAGATTCCACGTAGGAGTTATTTGCTTTCTTCCCAAGTACAACCCACCTACTCCACTAATTAAGTAATTATACAAACAAGACATGGCTCTCGTTGATCATCAATGGACGGCCATATCTTTAGCCGTTGCTGATGATTAAACATGGTCAAATCCAAGATAGATTTGCTAAAAAAGGTTATCTCGATGTACGACTGATTAAATACAACTTGTCATGCGTCATAATACCAGATTTCAACGGTGATAGTCAGAATTTGACAGCTGTGTATGGTAGGGGTGTTTTTATTATTTTATAATTTTTTTATATTAGGGTGTTAAATTAAATTAGCAAACCCGGAGGTTTACTAATTTAATTTTTAAATTCTACCTCGTAATAATCACCTAACTCTACGTACTAATAATATTTCAAAAATACTACTCAAAATAATTAAAAAAAATTTAGTTAATATATTGAGTAAACGACTTTTTCCCACCTAAGGTTTGCCTTAATGATACTTTCTCACCAAAAAAAATTCAAAATATCACTTTCTCACCCGAAGTTATATTCTATTAATACTCAAAATACACTTCACTTTCTCAGTCAGTGTTTGACGAGTTACCAGGTGCTACGGTGAGAGGAGTGTTGTAGAGTGGAGGCTAATAGATCGAATGATGGTGACTGATTGAATATTAGCCGTTAGAATTAGTCAGAAATCAGCTAAAAATAAGAAACATTAGTTTTACAGTGACTAGCAATCGACGAGAAATCAGGTGTCGAAGTAAGAGAAGTTTTATAGAGAGAAGATTGGAGATTCAAATGGTGATAACATAAAGAATTTTAGCCGTCCGAATAGGCTTTGGGTAATAACATAATATTAATTTTGAATGAAAAAACGGTATTTTTAAATCATATTACTATACACAACCTTATTTATATCAATCATGAATAGGAGAGAACCCTGGCTAGCGAAACTTTTACCAGATTCCTTCCTGGGACATTTTCAGAAAACGGGACAGGGTAATGTTTGGGAGCTCGGGCGAAACCCTTTTCTTCTTTTTTATATTTGTCATCTTCATTGATTCCGAATCCTTTGATTCTGTAACTGTTATTGAGACCAAATTGTAGAACTGTTCAAAACAAGAATTTCTACATGTTAGACAGCTATATGATCTTCAGCATAGGGAATGTGTTTCTTCATGAAAAACTATTGTTCAGTGTGCAAAACGCAATCAAGTGTCAAGAAGGATTATTCATCAATTTAAAGGAACTGATTGCGTAACTCCACATTTGGCATGAAGTGAATCATTAAACTAAGATCATAAAATGCTAACAGACACCGACGCTTTACACTGAAATTGAATCATTTAAACTAAGATCATAAAAATTCTACAGACACCGACGACTTTCACTGAATTTTACAATAAACACGTGTCCACGAATCAGACGACCCTGTATCATGTAACAAATATTTTGCGAATGATGGTCGTCTATTGTTATTGCCGACCGTTCATTTGAAATGACTCCTATCCTATTATATGGACGGTTGTCCACTTAGAATGATCCGTTCATAGTTTAACTAAAAAAATTATTCTAAAATTGTTTATAACGTCCACCTCTTATGAGGATGATTGTCCATCTTTCAATATTAACAACTTTAGTTTAATAAAAAAAAATTCTTTTAAATTTTCAATTAAAATGTTTAAAAATTTAGGCTTCCCGAATAAGTTTTATTTCTCTCTCCTTTGCATTGTTTTTAAATGAAAATTTTTTTTGAAAAATTAAATAATAATATTTTAGAATGGAATTGCGTTCACTCATTGGATGGCCATCCAAATTAGCCGCCATGGCCATCCAAATGAGTGGATGCCAGTCCATTCTCAAAATATATAATATTTTTTTAATTTTTCAAATTTTTTTAGATGAAGGCTTAGACATTCTAACTGCGCGTCCATACTTTTACTTAAAAATCAACTTTCTTTTTCTTTTATTTTATCTAAAAATTGTACACTTTAAAAACGAATATTCATCTTATTAAACATGGACAGACGTCCATCTAAAAGGACATCTGTCCACTGAAATAAAATTTTTGATGGGCGTCTATCTTATATGGACACCCGTCTTAGAAATAGACATCCATCCTAATAAGATGACGGGCATCTATATTTTTCTTTAAATTTTTTGGGACAGGCATCCATTTAAATAGACACTCGTCCATATAATATGAATGAGAGTCCATTAATATGGTGGACATTCATAAATGTTGGACGGCCGTTCATTCACGAAAAACTCCAGCGTGGTCGCGTCTAACTGGTTGCCATATCCTTCAGTCCATAATTCGGTATAAAATTCGGTGTCCGTAGTGTTACTCGATCATATACGGGGGGACAAATTACTTCACAGACACATGCAGCAACAACCTATCAAATAATTTGAACCTTCAGCACAAGCCACATCTCCATCTCCACTCTCGTTATAAGGCCCGTATGCAATCCTGTAAGCAAAAAGAAATTTCAACTACTAATAACAACAAAAGTTAACAACTCTGGATTATAAAATTATAAAAGGGAACGGATGTCAACTTGGTTGGCACTAAAAATGAGAAAGAAGAGAAACTTGAGGGATATTAGATCAGAGAAATCATTGATACAGTTAAATCATAATTGAATACATTTCTTAATGAAACCAAATAAGCACAAGGCAAGGATATTCATACTCATAGCCCTCAATCAGTTCTGAAAGAAAGCTACGGCGAAGTGCCTCCTTGTTCGACAATCAACTCGATGCATGCATTTAAAACAGCTATCTTCTCAGCATTGACTGACCCTCCTCTTGGAGATGAGCTATCAAGTGGTATAATAATTACTACCACAAGAAAAATGGCAGGGTGGAGCATTTGGCCAGATTACACATCAATAACACTAACGTTTGGTGTGAGTGAATGCATGCCATTGGCAACATCCTTTCTTGTCAACTATACAGAATTTAAAATTTTGGGACAGAATTTTATGATTAGAGAAACATAATACCTCTTTGTCCATGTCTATATTCCTGAGTTATTCGTTTATAGGCTTTAAATCTAAATGATTGCCATGAAAGCTTTAACTTGCATTGAACACCCCATTTTTGTTGCATCATCGGATGCATTGAATGACTGTAATTTTTCCATGAAAGTGGAATTTTTTGTATGACTTTATAAAACTATGTAAACATAACCAGACCTCGTAAAATTGACTAACACATTAAATAAAGTTTTGTGTTCTACTTTGATATTTAGACACGTAAGCTAACGAGTTACGTTTAATGAAGATTTGACATATATGAACGTGATACGAAACCGTTTTAACACAACCCATCTAATATATTTTTAGGACACAATTTCATGGAACTGTTGAGAGAGAATTTTTAGCCTAGCCCAGGTTGATGACAAATCTAAACTACAGAGAGCCTTCCCATCACCGCTACAGCTTTTCCTTGCAGCAAACCCTCTGATTCCCCTCATCTAAAAACCTCACTTCTGGTGATCATGCCTACTTGCATGGTAAAGTTAAATTATATAATCTAATCAATAAGCATTAAACAATTAATTACGTAAAAATTTTGAATTATTTTTGAGTCATTCTTCCCCAGTTTTTTACTCAAATCACCGATCACTTTGACTCTTGAAATGCCATCTTACCCTTATAAATAATTAATCGAAAATTAATATCAAATAATAAAAATTTTAAAGCAAATCTTTTAACACAAATTTGTACAAATATCTTTAGTACAACATATTTTTACATATATGTTCTATCAAATTTTCTATCTTCCATTAACCAGGATCAAAACCCTGGTAAACAAAAAGATACAATTAACAATATCTTCCATCTCCTCCCCACAATTTCTAGCTCCATACAATTCGATCTTTAGTCTCTAACTCTATCTTCAGTACAGATTTTTTTTTTTTTTTTTTTTTTTAAATAAAAGAAAATCTTGGGTAACCAACGGTAAGGGCGAACCAAGGAGGCTACAATGCTATTATCTTTGTCATGATTTACTTGAAGGGCCATGGCGGTGGATTGCCATGGGATAGTTTCCCTTGAGGGATTAGTCAAGTTGGTTAGGATATCTCAGTTATTTAGGTTCGATTTCCCCATTGGGCGTAAATGATTAGTCGAGATATCGTAAATTGGCCATTGAGCAAAACTTCCACACGACCAGAACCAAAATTCAAGTAAGAAAGCTTAACTAATATGATTAAATCAGAATTTCCCATGTCAAGGAACTAAAATCCTCATAGTGTGAATCCTAATCTAGAGAGGCCATGGAGCAAAAGTTTTTACACTGGCGTATGAGTTTAAGTATCACTTCCTTTCAATAAGGTTACAACAATAAGATAAAGAGAGAAAGAGCTAAGAAATTGTAAACACCCACCTGCTTAGTTGTTTCCTTTAGTCTTTTTAATGATGATTGTTGTGAAACTTTTTCGTTTTTGAATTTATTGGGGAGAGGAGATCGAGTCGTTGGTGCTAACTTAAATGACTTTTGATTACTCATTTTCAGTTAAGCTTTTCTTACTTAAGTTTGGTTTTGGCCTCTATTTCTTCTTGTTATAACCTCATTGAAACTGGAATTTCAATGAGCAAGTAGGCCATGGCATTTCTGGTGTCAATGTGATGAGCAGTCTTAAGTTTCCACCAAGAGAAGAATTTCACAACCAACCAGATGACCACAATTTAAAGTGATAGACTGGTGCCAAATGATGTGAAATTCATATAAACAATGTCTTGCACAAGGTATCAAACAAGATGAAGAATGGAGTTTCAATCTCTTCAATTGAAACTCCAGAGTATTATTCCAGAAATGTTTTTCACTTATTGAA